CTACAAGTTCTCCTTTTTGTTTTCTCTCCCTCTATATCCATTTTTCTCTCTAACAATATAGAGAATATAATAATATATTCTTGGCAGAAAGTGGGCCTAAATTTTGTTGTTTTGAAGGCTAGAATAGAAAACCCTTGCGTATTAGATGATGACTGGAGTTGCTATAATATAAGTACTAGTCAATTTGTGGCTTAAGAATGTTTTCCGAAGAAAACACCGAAATATGATGTTTACTCGTCAGTAACTTCGCCATGGAGGAATCTTCGAGAATACTGAGCGAAAAAGGCTGGGAATGAATTTTGGAGTGAAAAATTTTGCCTTTGACGCCTAAAAACCCATGTGTCAAAGCCTGCGAGAAAATCAAATCTAACATATGTGCTTAGCTGCAGGTAATTAGTTTTTCATTAAAAGATGATTTGTTTATCACTGCAGAAACAAGGGTAAAGATCAAGGAGAAAACCGAAATATCACGTGTAAGCCAGATGCACCTTGAAATGACATACAATAAAGTTTAAATAGGTTATGAATTTGTATTAGGTCTGTGATGTTATTCGGGTGTTGGCATATTGCCAATGCCCTTTGTCCAATTCATACGAGTAATAGCTTGTCAATCTTTAGGTTTTCTTTTTTTTAGATCTTCAGAATTCAGAATTCATTTCATCAAGTTGGTATGGACTTCTAAATGAAAAAAAAATGTGCATTCAGATCCTAGCTTTTTTGTTTGTATGACATTCTTCAATCATATCTTTTGCACTTCATTTTCTGGCTCATCTATTCTAAACTATTCTGTTCATCTTTTTCATTCTGAACTACATATTCTATTCACACTATTTGAATTTACGTCAGTCAACGCGAAATCGATTACAAAAGAGCGGATTCCAGACCAAATACGTAAAATATGTACCATGCATTGTAACACATTTCATCGTTTTTTCTGATTCTTTTTTGGATCAATGAACCCATTTTCGTGACTTTTAAGTACATATTGTTTCTTTAAAATTTTATTATCGAAGTATTCGTTCAAATTTCTTCCACCTCTGATAATCGTTCTAAATACATATTAGCGCTCTTATTCAGAATTCTGTTACGGTTACTCAGTTAACCTCCATGTTTTATGGCCTACTACAACGATTGATAGGAAAGTAAGTGATAGAGCTTTGTAGCTTCTCTAAACTCAGAAAAGCTAAAAAAAATCTTGTCTCATGCGATTTTCGTGTCCGTGATTCAGAATATCACCAATACAGGAAGCTAATCCTTTTGTAGAAAATCTTCAGTGAATTTTCATCTTACCCCTGGTTTTAAATGTTAATTTTGTACAACTCAAGAGACCATGCTTATGTCAAGCCAAAAATTCCACAGATATTGCTTTATTTGATTTTAAAAATGTTTTTTGGTTTCACGATTGTCTGAATCATACATTTACTTCGATAAAGAAATGTTATAGCGAGGCTACTTAGAGTTTAAAACGAGGATATGGATAGATGTAAAGTTAGCATATCTTAACAGTATCATAACGAAAAAAGAAAAAACTATGGGGAATAACGAATCAGATGCACTGTTTCTCAGGTATGATTGACTGCAAATGTAACGGCTTATAGATGAGAATAAAGAGCAAGGATTAAAAAAATTTGGTCAATCTTAATTTTTTAAAAAATTTTCTGCAATATTTCGTGCATCATTAAAAAGAATTTCATAAGCTGTTAACTTGCGCATTTTATGTGTTATAATTCGAACTCGCCCAATCGTGCACTACCGTACTCGAGGATGCTGACTGGTTCGCTCAAAAAGAGTACGATCTGGGCGAGAAGCTAGAGTTAGATTTCTACGCCACGCTTGAACTGTAAGCGCTGAAAAGTGAAATGAAAAATCTAAAGCGAGAAAAAAACCGATAATTTACGAAATAGAATCCAATTTATTGAATTTGAAAAAAGTACTATTTTGCTTTTCTGTCTACTCATTTCGATTGAGTTTTTTATTTTAGTGGATGCCGCACAACGGCCGACAACGCTAACGCGGACAAAGGCCGAATCCGTCTCCAACGACCACTTTGATAACAGTGCTGCGATCGAAAGTATAGAAAAGTAAGTGTTAGATTTTTGAAAAAGAAATTTCTTAACCCATTTACGTCGACGCCTAATTTTGCGTGGCGGCGCTGTGGGACGACGCGATTTTGCACAACGCTTGCAGTGTGGGAAGGTATTGTGCTTATTTACAAAATGCAAGGTTGTTTTGTTAACAACTGCTAACATTCTCTTGAACGATGGAGCCTACAGGTCCCAACAATACAAAAAATTAAAAAATATTGATATATGGAAAAAATACTAGCCTGCAAATAATACGACTTTGCAAAAAGGTGGGCCACCAGGGCCCACATCGTCGTCAATGGGTTAAGAGGTTGCGAGTTTTGCGAGTGAAAGGGATGATAAAACCACAGAAGTGACAAGGTGTGGAAAATTTTTTTAAAAGCTATGCAACAATGCAAATTTTTATAAAAGCTTGTGGAGAAGAGAAACACTGCGACGAATAGAGTAAACATAGCTTTTTCCAAAAATTTATATTGTCTGTGCAAACCCTTTTTCCCCCAAAATTTTCATTTTTTGAGCAGATTGTTTGCTTTTCTCTTTCTCGTTTTCAAGCAGCAAAAAAGTGAAAATATTCCAAAAAGTGCTTTACTTTACAAACTTGTAAGTTTACAACGGGCGAATTATTTTAGCATCTATATTTTTTTCTTTCTAACACCCATAGAATTCAAGATTGAGTCATTTATGTAAATGCAGAATTCAGCTCGGATTACAATGACTCAAATGCTAAAGCAACGTCAGAGATTAGTCGTAACTAGTTTTTGTATGTTTCTAGAACCTGAAATTAATATTTATAGCCCGAGTGCAGCTATTTTGGTGTATTACTTACAGTCATATTATTTTCTAAATTCGACATTATCAGAATTAATGCGTTCATCATAATATAAATACTGCATCAGTCCTCCCACTTAACCCATTTCGAGAGAGTTTGCCTGCTTTCGTCAGTTCATAATTTTCAAAATTCTCGTATTCGGACCCTATCGAAGCCATAACTTCCGGAAATCCAATGTTTTCACATTGAGGAAGATTGAATGTGACGAAGCTTCTAATTTCTTGAGTGCTTCATCACTAGCTGATCCTGTTTATCTTACGGCTTAATCCTCTCAATTTTTTTTGCGCGGAAGCTACATACAGAAGTTATTCTTGACTTTTGCATGTGTCGTAAGTGTTCAGCATTATTTAAATTTATATTTAAAAATATTTTTATGGAAAGCATAAATATAGCTCTTCTTTCATTGGATAAAGCCATAATTTTCTGAATTCTCACAATCAGATGTCCGTATAACTCATTATTTTTCTCAAAATTGTCCAATGGATATGGCTCCGAAGGTTTCGCAAACAGAAATGTTAGGACTAATTCAAAGCAATTATGACATTTTTCATTGCAATTTCGAGTTATAGAACCCACATAGCTCAAATGATTTTTAGATTATCTTGAAGAATTTTTCCATCGTGGATCTCGGGGTCCCTCCTTATATAGACTTATTATAAAATTTGGGTAATTTCAGAGCTTTTTGCGAGTGTCATCGGCACTTCGGCATGAAGTTAAATTTTAGAAAAATAGGTTTTTAATTACCTCGCTCAATTGGAAGTCTTATTTCTCTTTCTTGGAACGTTTTGGCTCCTTCTCAAGACGGAAGACCCTCGTTTTTTCGACAGAAAAGCTCACAACTTTCAAAATTTGATCTTCAGATACTTTACCCCCTAAAAGTGCTTCATTTCTCCCTTTTTTGCATTTTTTTCATATTATAGAGTAAAATTTCTCCTGGAAAATGCGTAGAAACCTCAAACTTCCATACATCGGGTCAATACGAGTACGGGCTTCGCTAGGATTCCATCGAAAACTAACTAAGTGATGATGGGGGGCAGAGTGGATGAGAGATTATCAGAAGCCGGTTGCCTGGACAACCTTATCGCTCTTCTGGATGTGTCAAATAGGTGTCTTGAGGATGGCCCTACCGCTACCCGGTTCTCCGACAGCCGGGTACTTTGCTTACGTCATCGGCTAAGAATAACTCTTCATATGCGTGTTTCTGCTCAATATAGCTTCATGTGCGTAATATTTACGTCGTCATGGGTTCTCATCAACATATTCTTGTGGTTTTTGATTAGTTCCATTCTGGGTAGTATTTTCTTGGATTGGTACACATCTTTATATTAAATTTTTCGAATGTATGAAATTCTCTTTAAAACCGCTTTCAAAATGGATATCTGGGTAAATTTCAATTAGTGCTACATCTTGTTTTCAGATTTTCACTTGTATTCAAAATTTACCTCACTTCATATTTTCTTGTAAAAAACATTTTTTATCATCAGTCACAACTTGCAACTTCCTTTCCATAACTGCGTCATAAATAATTTCTATCACTTATTTCTTCACTGAATTAAACCATTCCCTCTGCTTAAGCAGGTTTTGGGAAATTTTGAGTGACTGGGTTTTTAATGCGGGAACATATTTGATGGCTCTAACTAAGCCATTACCCGATCGACAGATCATCTAACTTATTTGTATCTGCAAAATTCAACCATAAACTGCAGCCCAGACCGTAATCCTCCAGATACTGACCAGCGTCTGCGAGCACGGTAGAAAGTACGGTCTGGACTAGAGTTTAGGGCTAGATTTCTTTGCCGGAAATGAATCATTTGGGCTGCTTGTAAAGCAGTGGGTTAGTCAAAATTCTCCATTCAGTCTTCGAATATACCCTCTGAAAATTTCACCAAAAACTGCCTTTGATTCCTCATTCACCTGTAAGCACTTTTTTCCTTCTTCATTTTTGACGTTTTTCCTCCCTAAAAAAACTTCGTATTCATCACTCAAACTTCGTGACTTCCTGTCATCCATCTCCTTTCCATCATTTCACATTAACTAATTCTAGTCCTTCCTGAATTCCTCAGCTTAACTTAACTTTCAAGGCAAAAATGATGCTCGTCGGTGATACCTTTGGCTTCTATCAATTAGTGCTTAGAAAACATTCATGCAGGTAAAATTTTCAGAGTAAATTTACACATGAGAGAGACTAAGAAGAGGGAATGTATTGAGATTTTCAAAAAAGGTTTTATATGATTGAAAATTGTATATTTTAGGCTTCGCTACATCCTTCATCAATTAAATAGTGGTCAATTACCGTTAGAGGATCTGAAGCGAAACATCGAATATGCAGCGTTGGTACTGGAAACTGCTTATATGGATGAAACCAGGTAAGTCGGAATTTTCTTATTCAGTATGTAGTTCTGACGCCTCAACGGTTTCATAAAAGATTCATTTGCGATTAGAAAATTCTCGAAGTCTGTTTTTTGTCATTAGCAACGAACGCAAGCACCTAATTGCTCGTTAAAAAGTCGTCATCACTTAATCAACAAATTTGTTGTGAATCTCAATCTGTGTAATTGATAAATGAGCATCCTAATGAGAAAATTATTCGTAATGTCGCCAAATTTACTATTTAATAGTTTTTCGAGCTCATTTAGAGGGTGATGACGAGTTCTGATATTATTTGTTACATTAATCAGCACTAGGAGACAATCAGAACTATATTGCAGCATTTACAGAATCATGCCTCAAAGTTGATATGTGTTAAGCTTTTTTTGAAGAAATATATGCAGAAATTCTAGCCATAAAATCTTTGTTACATTAAATTGCATCATAATCAATCTTTACGTAATTTAAGACAATATAGAGAATTTTAGCAGTTTTTCATTGAATCCCACGTTCTCGAAAACTCACATTTTTGAATAATTTCAATGTGCTTAGAAAAATTTGTGATTTATGGACTAACTCGATTAAATTTGCTGCTCTCTCACATTACTTCGGAAATCATCCGTTTTTACGGGACAGGGAGTCAGCACAACCTTTCATTTGAATGGCCGGCCTTCTAACAAGGAGAGGATACTTGGTCGAAAGCGCCAATCCAGATGAGACATATATTATCTTAAAGCGCTTGAAACACTGATTCCAAATCTGCAGTTTCTAGCTGCGGAGCGGTTTTGTAGAAGGAGTTATAAGGGGTGTTTCTCTCTGGGGTCGAGGCGCCCTACACCATTTCTCCCCCTACTATAAGCACTGTAGAGGAGTACCAACTGGTGGCAATTGACCTAGTTGTAAGTGACGTGCTTGATAAGGAAAGTGTCAAGGTTTTAATCCTCTTCGCATGCAACTTTGTCGCAGTTTTTGCAAAATTGAGCTTCTAAATGGCTTTAACGCTCTAAAGCTTGAATTTTTTGATGATATTGATGCTAGAGAAGTGTTAAAAAGCGAAAGTAATACGAGTATTATAATCCTTACTGTAATCATCATTCAAGTTACTTACCATGAGGCCAGTTGCCACCAGTTGGTAGTCCTCTACAGTGCTTATAGGTAGGAAGGCATGGTGGAGGGCTCCTCACCCTAGAGGGAAATACCCCTCATAACTCCCTCTACAAAACCGCTCCGCAGCTAGAAACTGCAAGTTTGGAATCAGCATTTCAAGCGCTTTAAGATGATATATGTCTCATTTGGATTGGTGCTTTCGACTGAGTATCCTCTCCTTGTAAAGTATATACTATCGATGTAGTTTTTTTTCTACGAACTGTAATACTCTATGGTTCAACTAAGATATGCCATTATGAAATTTTGAATTTTCAACTGTTTGACAAAGAATCACTTGGAGACTCACTTCGAAGAGATCGCGACTTTTTCGGAATGATTGGCAAAAGGCATCATTACCTAGGCTCAAAAATGGCACAACTTGCACTCAAAGGTTTTAACATGGCCTCTAGTGTTCTTCTGCTTGAAGGCAAGTCTCGTAACTGACTGTTTTACAGCTATGTATGTAGGTGGCGGAAGTAGAAGATAATCCCACATAAACATCAGGACCTTAAGACTTATGTACTTGCATAAGCTTCTTTTGGTTTTCATTGAATTCGAGCTTAATCTGCATTATGACATTACAAAATAACTTGTTGACGTGTTTTGCACAAATTTCCTTTCGAATGATTCCGTTGATCAAAAAAAGCATCTTAAGTCTAATCGAATCCTCTAGAGACAAGAGTCTTAGCTTTTCAGAATATGCAAGCACACTCTTTCACATTAGCAACCCAAGTGTTTTTGTCGGTTATTTCTTAAATCATTCAGTAAAAACAGAGTAATAGTCGGCATCGATTATGACAGACTGAATAGGCAATACTGAAACATTTTGTTAGGATCATTGGTTTTCACCTTGCCTTCACTAGAAAAGAATGATAAAATATTTGAAAAGCATTTTGTAAGACAGGTTTCAATACAACGTCTCGAAGATAAAAACCCATGAACAGACTTGGTATGTGCTCATTCGATTTTAAAATATGATTAATAGTGAGAAAACCAAGAAAATAAAAGAGTAGGAGTTGCATACAGAAATAGCAACACATGATTTAAAACCTTTGCTTCTCATATTCCCATGTTCAAAATTCGCTTTCATTTTAGCCTAGTGACCTATGTATGCCAAAATTCAGAAAACTCAGTTATTCCAAAGCTATATTAAGTAATAACAAAGTTAGTAACGCCTGATATAGATTAATTTAGCTTCAAGGTGTTGTAAATATCTCCAATAATTTATTCCTTTTTAAACTGCTTTATCTAAATCTGGTTAGATTTTTTGCAAACTAAATGAGGAGACTTATAAAAGCCATTGCCCAAGCGGCAGCTAATTTGATTTGCTCGTGGCCAAGACTTCCAAATACCAGCTTAGATCGTAGCTTTTCTAAGCAGACCAATCAGCGTCCTCGAATACGGTAGAAAGTACTGTCTAGGTTGGTTTTGGATTTAAATTTTTTTGGTCAAAAATGATTTGAATGAGCTTGGACTTTGGCATTAGCTTGAATGGGATTTCTCATCAATTTTTATCTTCCCACTATTATAACCCTTTATCCTCTTACCCGGCTGCATAAAAACGGATGGGGGAGGAGGAGTGGGAAGGGGGGGGGGGATTTGTCAAGTGATTTTCGCATGTAAACAGGTATAGGTATTATCTATACATAGCTGTTGTTTACAGGCGGATATGCGATGAAGACGATGATCTGGCCGAAGTCACCCCGGAAACCGTCCCTGACGAGGCATGTCTAACGTCTGCTATTCCTGAGCCTGTACATCATCAGGATATTGAAGGATTTGCAAAAATTTATTAGCCAAAGAGCTCAATTTAGGTTCGAGAATGGCTAGCAGCAACATTCACACGACAGAATGCTGGTAAAAAGCGAGAAAAACCAAAATTCAAATCGGTAGCCAATGCAATTCGAACTGGTATTTTCTTTGATAAGTGGGTTTAAAATTTCCAAAATTTTTTCAAGGCGTTGGCTTATTTCTAATTATAATTCCTATTTTTAGGCTTTTCCGCAAACAACAAACCGTTCAATGCCCAATTCCTCCTGAAATATCCGAACTACTTAGGGTAAGTAGATTTTTTTAGATTTTTACGTCACCTTTTATAAATACGAAAAAGAGTGAATTTACTCTGCAGATGATGGATTAGAGCTTAAGAAGTACATACGTCCTATTCGAAAGGCAAGAAGTAAATGTCATGACGTAAATCCGTCTTATTTTCAGGAGATCAATTCGTGGTCTTTCAATCCATTCAATTTGAATGAGGTTTCCGAGGGACATGCATTGAAATTTGTCGGATTTGAATTATTCAATAGATATGGCTTTATGGACAGATTTAAGGTTAGTTATTCTTTAAGTATTAACACTTTTCATCCAGCAGGTCCTATTTGGAAAATAATTGAGAGGTTTCGCTAAGCCGTTGCCCCAAGAAGCAACTCATATGAATCATTCCTAACCGAGATATTCAGCGTTAATCTTCAGACCATATCGTACTCCTCCTAAAAAGAGGTGCGGTCTGGACTGGAGATTAAGGGCCGGGCATACTTCACGCGATTTCAGTCGCGACGCGACTTGGCAATATTCCAACTGTCCATAACTCACTGTAAACACATCTTGAATGAACAGAAGTTAGGGCATTTTATCAATCTACGTAAGTTGTACACACTATGCATGTGCAGACTGCTAGTGTTGGATCCGAAGACTTATGGCAAATTGCCAAATCGCGTCGCGACTAAAATCGCGTGAAGTGTGCCCGGCCCTTTAGAGTTGGTTTTTTTAGTCCACAAATGAATCACTTGAGTTGCCGCATGGGCAATTGGCTTATCAAAAGCCTTCCTAACAAATCTTATATATAAAGCTGAATGTCTGTTTGTCTGTATGTCTGTCTGTCTGTCTGTCTGTCTGTCTGTCTGTGTGTACGTATGTTCCGAATAGAAAATTCCATTTCTGAACCGATCCGGACCAAACTTGGCACACATACACTACGGGCCCCGGCGGGTGTCATAGGCTACTTTTCGTCATCGATCGATATCGATTTTATCGATTTTTATCGATTTTTTTGCTGAGTTCACCTACGGGGCTGGGAGTTGGCACAGGGGGGTAATCGAGCATGGGGATTCCGAATACAATATTGGTTTTCAGGATTATCGATTACTTTTATCGATTTTATCGATTTTTTTGCAAAGTTTGAGCTACGGGGCTGGGAGTTGGCACAGGGGGGTAATCGAGCATGGGGATTCCGAATACAATATTGGTTTTCAGGATTATCGATTACTTTTATCGATTTTATCGATTTTTTTGCAAAGTTTGAGCTACGGGGCTGGGAGTTCGCACAGGGGGGTAATCGAGCATGGGGATTCCGAATACAATATTGGTTTTCAGGATTATCGATTACTTTTATCGATTTTATCGATTTTTTTGCAAAGTTTGAGCTAGGGGGCTGGGAGTTGGCACAGGGGGGTAATCGAGCATGCTGATCATCCCCAAGGGGGGTGATCAGCATGCTCGAACACCCCTGTGCCAAATTCCAGCCCCCTAGCTCAAATTTTCAAAAAATCGATAAAATCGATAAAAGTAATGGACGATCTTGAAAACTAATATTGTATTCGTAATCTGCATGCTCGATTACCCTCTGTGCAAACTCCCAGCCCCGCAGGTCAAACTTTGCAAAAAAATCGATAAAATCGATAAAAGTAATGGACGATCCTGAAAACTAATATTGTATTCGGAATCCCCATGCTCACTTCCCCCCTGTGCCAACTCCTAGCCCTGTAGGTGAACTCTGCCAAAAAATCGATAAAATCAATAAAAGCAATCGATAATTCTGAAAACTAATATTGTATTCGGAATCCCCATGCTCACTTCCCCCTGTGCCAATTCCTAGCCCTGTAGGTGAACTCTGCAAAAAATCGATAAAAATCGGTAAAATCGACATCGATCGATAACGAAAAGTGGACTGTGACTCCCGCCGGGGCCCGAAGTGTATGTGTGCCAAGTTTGGTCCGGATACGGCGGAGCCGGGTAAGCCAGCTAGTTCCTTATAAGAAAAGTAGGTCCCAAGAAAAGTCTACAAATTTCCAATGACGTTTTCGAGATCAGTAATAAAATTCTTGTTTATTCTGTATTAAACAACCAATTTCGCAAGTACGAACTTTTTTTGCACTACTAAGCTTGGATGATTGACGTGAACGTAAATTGAGACCTGATGCTCCTGAGTGCATCATGCTAACGTCTCATCCACAGATAATCCAATGATTTAGGGCTACTATCACAGAGTGTTATCTTCCTTCTTATAAAAGTGGGGTGAGTAAAAAAAGCAAACAATTTCTGATCCATACGGGACCAACTGTCGAAGTTATACATGTTATTGTAACCATCAAGCAGTAGTCTATCTCTGTAGCGCTGGCGACCCTAGAAATGTTTGGTACCCTTGAATTCGACTGACTTGGCGGCTGGAAAGAGGGGCTTCGTGACCTTATTAAGGCATAATGATCAGAGAGCACTCGCGTGACAGAGACGCAGACTGCGCCGCGGACGCGAGCGACTTTAACTAGGTCACAAAGCCCCGCCTTCCAGCCGCCAAGCCAGTCGAATCATAGGTTATAAGGGTAGAGGAAGATTTGGAAATGGAAGTTTTTTCTGTAAAAGGTATGCAGTTAGCTACGCCTTCGAAAGAAAAAACTTTCAGCAAGTTTTCAACTGTAGAATTCGAAAACGAGTGTGGCAGCTTTGAAAAATCTATCGCAAATAGAATGCTGATTCATTCCACGAAAAATAATAAAGAGCATTTTTTTTATCGATGACAAGTAAAAAATTTCACTCAAAACAATTGTATGAATCACGTAGTTCACTAGTCCACTTTCAAAAATGAGCAAACCATTCTCTTTAGTGAGGCGGGGTAGGGGGAGGGGGGTGTTGAATGCATCAAATTTGTATACCAAAATTCAAAAATTCCACGTGGTTCTTCGAAGTTTAGGATGTCAACTGCAATAGTGTTACTTTCATATAATTTTTAGGTTTTGATCAGAATCTATCTCAAATTTAGAAAAAAAAATGATGGTTCAACCATAAATTTCGTTTCACAAGTTCTTTCATAAGCTCAAAAAAATTTGTCAAAATTTGGAAAGGGGATGTGGCAGCTTCATCCCTTTGAAGCAAGATCAAAAAGACCTTGCTTCAAAGGGATGAAGAAATTGATACTTGGGAAAGACCAAGTTTCTTAGGATTATGTATTCTATATTATAATGATTGGAAATTTTCTAAAAAAATAATTTTTCAGATACCTCTTCCCGCACTGGAAAACTATCTACATGCTTTGGAACTTGGTTACAGTAAGCACAATAATCCTTACCATAATGTCGTTCATGCTGCTGATGTTACTCAATCATCTCATTTTATGCTCACACAAACTGGTCTTGCGGTAGGTTTACAGCATACTGTAGATTACGGTGGCTGATTTTGAATGTAAAAAATTTGCAGAACAGCCTCGGCGATTTGGAATTGCTCGCTGTAATATTTGGTGCATTGATTCACGATTATGAGCATACTGGTCACACCAATAACTTCCATATTCAATCCGGGTAAGTATAGTCTACAAAAAGTGACATTTTTACAACTATTCTTCAAAAAAGGAAAAAAGCTGGAAGAAAGGACAATTTTTTTAGATCCACCTATGCTCTTCTCTACAACGATCGTAGCGTCCTCGAAAATCATCACGTCTCGGCTTGCTTCCGTCTTATGAAGGAAGAAGACAAAAACATTTTTAACCACCTTACCAGAGACGAATACAGGTGCTCACTATCTTTTCCAAACTTTTCCTGTAGACTAATAAATTTCTTTTTTTTTCAGAGACCTGCGAAATATGGTAATCGAAATCGTTCTAGCTACAGATATGTCCACCCATTTTGTACAAATCAAAACAATGAAAAATATGCTGTCATTGCCGGAGGGGTAATTTTTTACTTCTCAAAACGCAGTTTCCAGACATGCCAGAGCATCAAAATTTTTACACGACTTGACTGAGAGGCCTTAGCTGAGCTAGCACCCATGCGGCACTTCAAGAACCATTTGTGGTCAAGAAATGCAGCTCTAGTCAGCTCTGGTCCAGACCGTAATTCTTCCGCGCTCGGGTACGGTAGGAAAATACGGTATGGGCTGAAGTTCAGTTTTGCAACTCTCGGCTACGATTAATCTTTTGAACTGCCGCTTAGGCAGTATCTTAGTTAATTCTTCTAAATTATTTCTAGCCCAGATATCCACATTTGCCTGGACGCTGCCCTCAGTACTTTTCTACTTGACTGTTACTTGCAAAAGTAATCTTTGTTCAAGGATCGACAAAAACAAAGCATTGTGTCTGATTGTGCACGCGTGTGATATTTCGCATCCGTCAAAACCATGGGTACTCCACGAAAGATGGACAGAAGGAGTGTTGGAGGAATTTTTCAGACAAGGTTAGTCATTCTTTTCTCTAAAATTAGCGGAATTAGAACTTGTATCATTAATTTGCTATACAGCAAAAGGAAAATCGTTTTTTTTACTCACGAAAAAACGAAGAAATATTATAGAATAGCTGAAAAATCTTCTCTCACTTTTCGTAAAGAAGACTGCACTTCCACTGGCTTTCTATGAAAAATATCGATTTTTCCAGGAGATCTCGAAGCTTCCATGGGTCTACCGTACTCCCCGTTGTGTGATCGACATACCGTACACGTGGCAGACAGTCAAATTGGTAAATGTCGTAAACCTTTTGAAACCCTCTCAGAAATCCCCCAAAAAAAATTTTTTTTAGGTTTTATCGACTTCATCGTCGAGCCAACTATGGTCGTATGTGGAGAACTGCTTACAAAAATGGTTGAACCATTAGTATCACTTCCACCAAGTGACAGCCTTTTCCCTCCTAATGGTGACCAGAACGAATCCACCAGCCCTAGCGTGGCGCTTAGTCCTCTACCCGATGCGTAAGTTTAGATCTTTTTTACAAATGAAGCCAAATTTGGCAGTTTTTGGTTTTGGGACTCGCCCAACAATTACAGAAAAAATTAAAATTTTAGGAGAAATTCGGCAGTGTCTCCTTCGTCATTGATTCGTCGTCTTCCATTGAACTACTGCGGAAAACTTGACATTCCTACACCATGGATGAAGTTTTTGCATGAAAACAAAGCTAGTTGGAAGGAAAGAGCAGCTAAAGGTGAAATATTTTGCAATTATTGCTAAAACCATTTTTGTGGGCAAACCACTGGTTGTACAAGTTATTTTTAATTTCATTGCACATAGAGTGCGCCTACTACAATTTACAAATTCTAAGCACTAATCATCAGCAAAAAAAAAACACTGAACACGAGAAGTGAAGAACCTAAATTTATTATTAGAATCAAAAAAAAAGTTCGCTGGGTATACATTTATGAAAGAAAATATATTTTTTGAACATTTATGAAAGAAAGTATATTTTTTGAATTCGGCCCTTATAAAAAATTTGGATTTACTTCCTTCAAATTGATTTGATTTTCCAAGCTTTCCACTGTGACGATTTAATTTTTCTTTCAGAAGAAGAAGAAAGAAAGCGAGCAGAAGCCGAGAAAGCAGCTGCTGCAGCGCTAGACAATGGAGATGCAAAAGAAAATGGCAAGCCGTAGCCCCGCTATTCAAAGAATCACTTTTTCAGGAGTATTTTTGCAATATTCATGCATTTTCTATTTTTAATTCGGTGATGTAGGACTGCCATGCCTAAGGGCTGGCTCATTTGCTAGAGTTTACCTATGCTAGAAAAAAATTTGAATTCTACTTATATACGGGATATTCCAAGCTCTCCTCCATATATAGTGTTTGTCCAGGTTCATTAGAAGCTAATCAGAAGTAAATCCCGCTCACATAGCTAGAAGCTCGCCGCATTTACAATTTCATTCACAAATCATTCGTGTGAGCTGAAGCCGACAACGATCTTATAATCTCTTACGGGCAAATGATTCTAATCGTTGTAGAAGTGTTGATAGTTTGATGTGTTTGTTTGTCTTGGACCATAAGGCAGGCACTGTGGTGCTTGCAAACAATTTGCTGTAATGTTGTTTATTTATGTCAGTTTCTTATAATCAATGATTCATGTATAAAAGTGTGTATGTAATAAGGAGTCAGGATTGACTCTTTTGTGTACGTACTCCCATTTTAGAATAAAGATAATGAATGAGTTTGTTATAATAGAGCATCTTTGATACAAGTAGAACTACTACAGGAACTTCAGACAATCTAATGAAGTTCCAATTTATTTCTTTGGGTCCTAAAGAAACATGAAAAAGAAAAGAATGCTTTGTTGGATTTTAGTTTATGTTGGATTAGATTCCACCACTTCATTGGACCTTGCTTCACTCATTGCCATTCGTTGTTTGGCTTTTTCAACTTTTATACCTCACGCGTTAGTTTGGGTCTGGTTCCATCTCATCACTTCCGCTGATGCTTGGGTTAACTTGTTTGGGCTTGAAACTTTTGCATTGTGCAATCTCTTCCGGAGTTCTGTTCTCTCCCCATAGTTTGGTTGGGCGAGTACATTACTACCAATACGCCTGCTTCAAACATATACATTGCTCATGTCTGAATAAGAGCATTTTTTTGTAAGAGCAGATGCACGAGACAGACTCCATCGAACCTCTATACCTGTAATGATTTCATATTCGTCTAGACAAGCTCACTCCCTTTCCATCCATAGAAAAGATTTTACGGGGTGGGCTTGAGCTGATTCAGTGGGGTGTTTGCCTTTCTTGTTCTTTTTTTTTATTGCTAGTTGTTTAGTGTGATGCTTCGTTTCTGTGTAACTGGGCACGGCTTGTGCGTATTAAATACATAAGTTAAAAAATATCCGCCGTTGAACCGATTGAGCTGAAAACTTATTGTTAGCACATGTATTCGACTCCTGCGCAGATTATAGGCTATTTTTGAGGCGATTCACAGGGTCTTTTCTATCGATTTATCGATTTGTTCACTTACATACGAAAAAAATCTTTTCAGGCTCTAACAAACCAGTTGCCAATAAACCTGTAAGCAGGGCAGTGGAGCTACTTCAATCTCATAGTCGGCAGGATGCGGCAGTTTGTCTTAAAGCGCTTTTCGGCATGGTAGAAGGAATTTGAAAGCGTAAGTAACACATTTTGCTGGCCTAATTTAGTCTCGGGTGAGACCGGGATCGCGAGCTATTTGTCTAATATTCGCAGCGGAATAGCAACTAAGCAATGATCAATGCTGCTCTGGAGCCAACTGAATACGGTGCGCAGCGCATTGGAAAGATTACGGCTGGACCAAAGTTAGAGAAGATTTTTCAAGCTAAAACTGAATCATATGGTTTGTTTTATTTAACAACCAACACATTCAGTTTTGTGACGTCACCGCGAGCGCAGCTCCACACGCCTCGCCCTACCTGGCAGCTCCAATAGTTAAGATGTTCCCGAGAACACCCTGGGACTTTAAGTTCTCCCACTGGGGTCCGAGCGGTTGTCTAAGCATAATACCGCACCGACCGCACTGACTGTAGTAGCAGCAGCCGCTGCTTTGGAGCGCGGAAGTAGTTTCAAGGTGGTGAAGTAATGACCGTTTTGCGAATTTTTTTGACCTATAACTTTCTAAAAAATCACTTTTTTCAATGCTATGAAAACCATCAAAGGCAGGGAGCCTTTCGCAGTACAGCGCATACTCTCCTTTACTCGTATAATAAACAGGCAGAGAAACACGGATCAACTAGCCGGCATGCCCAGCTTCGCCTGCACCGTGATTTTAACTGACTCAACAAAGAGCAAACATTATGTGTAACTTTACAGGCTCAACTTATCTGCGTTTTGGCTTCCTTTTGTTTCTCGACAACAGAGGACAAATAATTGCTGACCGCATCGCCGCGAATTGCCGCATCTCTCTCTCCTGTGGAATGGAAATGAGTCCTACCTCTGTTGTTTACACGAAATTGGGAAGTGGTTTGATAGTACTTGATAAGAGTTCATTTTTTCCTCAAAATTAACAAATCGATAGGAGGAGTGGTATTTTTGCCGCGAAAAGTAGCCTACGGGGCGGACCGGTGTCGGAAACATACGGTGCAAGGTTTGAGGCTGATCGGTTTACACATAAAATCTATCTATAGATGACACACTAACTAGCAATTTACCAACACTCAGTTTTATATACATAAATGAACGAAAAAGGTTTTGTTCTGTAACCTCGTTTTTAACAATCGACAGTCACAATCATAAATCCCTCCAAAGATAGTTAGTATGAATGACAAATCACCAACGTGGTAGCCGCAGGCTAGTAGTATAAAATTGAAAGGCGCTTCCAAGGAGAAGTCTAACATCGAACAGGATTGGACAGAAAAAAGATAAAAACCAAAATTCCAGCTTTTTCCAATATTTTCCAGCAGTCCTCAAAGTCCAGAATTAAAGAATGTTCCGATTTTCTGCGTGCTAAACAGATGTATGTTCTGGAAAAAAAAACTGTCAACTGAATGCCCTACCCTTACGCTTACAAAATGAGCGGAGCTTTGGCTTGCCTTCTTCAAAGAAGATAGGCCACGGAGTGACCAAAACGTCTCCCCATATTGGGGCGCCGATATCTCAGTCGATAATTTATAAGAAAATAGTAAAGTGTGCACGGTGATCCCTACAACATTTATTAGGTCGTTCCATATTCGTAAGGTTTTTATGAACCAACAAAATGACAAAATTTCCGCAAATTCAATCAACGATGTATGTTCAGGTATTGCGCACAACCTTCTTCCACATGCCATCAGATTTTCAGTTCCGTTTTTCCTAAACTCAGTGGGTCTGGCCCCAAAAAAGTCGTCTAACCAACGCTTGAGCTCACCTTCAAAATCAAAAACAGACGCCGTCCATATGATATGGTGATAGACTGGAAGAGATGACATTATACTAGAGCGAGGTCTCAGGAGTACGCTGAGTACTATTTATCTCTCTGTCAAGCCTTGCAGGACAGCTATGACGACGGTTGCCGTAGAGGCAATTTTTATTGCGCAAAAAAGCTCACTGGACCTGTTTATTAGAAGTTTTGTGCAGTAGGGATTAGTTTAAAAGTGCAGTCGGGTTGCATACGGTATGGACGACTGTCTTATTCTTGCCTAGCAAAACTCAATGCAGAACCTCCTGCCATCCTGCAAAAAGTCTTGCTTCAGATAACATCCTGCAAACTTTTTGTTTTTGAAGCAATTCAATCCCTTTTTGGGGTAAAGGAACGAACGCCTCAGGTAGGCATCGCCTCCGCGGGCTGCTGGTCCTTTCGTCCAACTGTTGTGCATCGTGTTGGGACCAGTGGTCCGCGGCGGCGGTCCTTAATTGAGGTATTCGCTCCTCCACCCCTTTTTTGTCTCATACTGACGAGAAAACGCCTTGTTCAATAATCGGCAAGAAAATCTGAGCAAAACGCTCTTTCTTTATTAAAAAAGAGCAAGTATGCTTCTTTTTGCCTTTTGAGAACTCCTTCTTTGGAAGCTGAGGAATCAAAGCAAATCAGCTTTCCATAGAAAATAATTAGTCTGTTTTGAGGAGCATGAACAGCTCTTCTCTATGGTATGCACATCATGCCGCAAATCAACCGCTTCTCAAAGAATTGATAACGAGAATGAAAACCTACGAACTTATGAAACAACCTAATAATAGCTGAATTTCCAAGAACATGTCTTCACTCGCGCTTGAATCTCGGCCAGAAAAGTAAGATATAGCATGAAAAGAGCTTTTTGCAGTTTGCTAAATCTTTTTTGAAGAGGAAAGTTTGATGGAGAAAAGATGTCTTGAAACAAGGCGTAAAAAACGTTCATGTTTTCTGCGCCGATAGCTGCTGCAAATTTGGCCTTCTGTATCTTTAAGGGAATCATGCGTTCAAAATTGCAACATTTTCCAAATAAATGAGTATAATTTTTGTTCAATTCTGTCTGGCTCTGTTTTTTATGATGGGTAAATTCTGGAGTTTTCTTTTCACGTTACTTTTAGCATTACTGATACTAGTGGCATCCAAGGACGGCCGCCCTGACATCCGCGCGCTGACGGTAAAGGAGGCCTCTGAAGACGACGATTTGATCGAAACGTTAGGCCGCCACTAACAATAAAGGCCTACTAACCTCGACTGGCTTACTCACTTACTAACACATCTGGAGTTTTTTTTACGCAAGTTTGTGACCGTTACCTATTATGTCTTCTTATCTGTTAAAATCCTCGTCTCTCCAATAGAAACTGCTAGCGTCACGCTTGCAGTAGCTTTTTCAAAAACTGCAAATTACAATAAACTAAATCAAAATGAACTGCAATAAACTAAATCACTGCAGAACTGTTTCACAGTTATGCAATCATTTAGTCCATAGATTCATGTGTCGACCAACCCGCCTCAAATCCAAAAGCTATGCAATGTTTTTTTTTGGAGTTCGTAGTTAAAAACCGTATGCGTGTTGCTTAATCTCGAACTTGGTTTTCTTCAGACTGTACGTGTGACCCAAATAAATATTGATTAGTTCGTGACTGTGCAAATACTGATTAGTTCTAGTTGTAGAAAAAGAGCTAAACTATCAGCAATAGTTTATTACCGCTGCACTCTTGTGCACGACATTGCGGTCATAGCGGTCAGTGCGTTCAGTGCGACAGTATAACACAAACTACCGGAAAGCGGGTAAAAGGACCATTGGTGAGGGCATTTACTTCCTGTAATTCTTGCACTGAATAGCATGCACAACGTGGGCGGACGTGCTGGTCCCGCGTGGAATAGGTCATAGTGATACGTAGGTTCCGGAACAGTTATAGCACAGCTCTCGGAATGTGCTCGGCTTTTTCTGATGGGAAGAGCTTCGATTCTACGCTTTTGGGGAAAGGGCGCTTCTCTGCTTCCATCTATCCGGAAACATGGGCGCTCGCCCGTTCTCTTTTCGTTAATTTTGCTGAGACCTAGTACTGTGCTTAAAAATATTTGTCTTTGCGCCGGCTTTCTTCACATGAAGTGATAGGTATTATGCTAGTATAGAATATTATGTTATAAGCGTTATGTTAGTATTAGGTCTGAAAAAAATTTAACGAAGAGATGAATGGACGAGCCAGATGACACATTTCTGGATGGTGGGATCAGAATAGCGCTCATTCTTCAAACGGCTTCGAAATCAAGGCTCTTCTCATCAAAAGGGGGAGCGGAGTAGAGGAGTGAGGCCAAAATGAGCGATTTTTCAGGGAAAAACGTTGGAAACGGTAAAAAATCTCTAACTCCCGTCGCTAAGTATTATGCGAGCGGCTGCAGCGCATGCAGCACAGTTCCGGCACTGTTCCGGCCTCGAGCGCGCTGTGAAATGTTCCGGAAGTTGCAACGGAATGGAATAACACTCCATCTTTGCAGACAGATTCACGTTCACAGTCAGCATTTATAGCATTCATTCACAGAGATGAATGCTATTACAGTTACTCTGCTCAGGACATCTTTGAATCTTGTGCGATCTTCTCAAAATTAGCAGCTGTTGTTGCAGTTATGCTTAGTTTGCACACCTCATCGCATCTGTATAATTCACTGCCGAAGATAGAAAGCTCTATAAAGAAATGTTCACGCGGAATTTACCTATTGATGTATAGTGGAGCGCTTGTTTACTCAACCTTTCATTCTTGTTCATTTATTAGAGCAAAGACGGTATCAGCAAGACCCTGGAGACTACTTCAAGTGGAAGTGTATTGCTATCCTCGGACGTCAGCCATAAATAACGCGCGCTAATGCGTAATACAAAGATTAGCCTATTGTTCCTATACAAATAGAATGGATTAGAATTTGTGGGAGTGTCAGGGTTTCGTAGATCGCATGTCGGATAATAGACTAATCGAGAGAGATATGGATATGGCTCTCAAAGCAAATGTGCGCAAAAAATTGTACTCTTACTCTTTGGTGGCGTTCTTGTTTTTTCACTTGACTATGCAACGAGTTGATCTTAGCTCTCTGACCTAAAGTTGTAGCTTAGATGTAAGCAAGCAGTCAAAGAAACTAAACAACCAACTTTAGTTCCTTCCGAACCTGCTTTGATTTGCTTGAATTCGCGGTCTTTTCCAAATGTTTCGATTTCCACTTCCAGTGGAGAATCAATCATTTTTGACCCATTCTACTGAGCGTTATTACTTTTCAGATTTTTCATGTTCACCATTTTGACATTTTTGCGACTACTTGTGTATATTATTGCAAATGCAACTTCGTTTCCTGCTCTGATTATCGTGTTCCGTAATAAATTACTTCATCAGAATTTTCGGTGAGTTATATTCCAATCAAAGACTTTAAATTCTTTAAATCCATCGGCACAGTTATAGGATTATCCTTGCTGTTATTATATTCTCAGGGTACATATTCTCATGTGTAGCTTATTTAAACGTGGCAGTGATCGTCCTAGATGTTCATGAGGATGTACGTAAATCGCACGAAAGATAAGGTGTTAGCGTTGCATGAAACTTCCTTTCCAGCTTACGGCTAGAGTGCGATGGCTTGTTAGAACTGCAGAAGTGTTGCTATATTACGGAGCTACACTATTTGTTTATGGAAACCTCTGCTTAACCGTAGAAAGATATCTTGCCGTATGCTTCGTAAAATCATACGAAAAGTATTCCTCGTCCTTGACCTCCGCACTTGCCACGATATTATCCGTTGTAAGCTTATTATTCTGTAAAGAAAATTTCCAGGCAGATTAGTACCTGAGTTTGTGTGAAAAATGATAGAAAGTCTCAGATACGCTATAAAGCACTGCAGCTCATAATCTGATTAATCTGATTCTAAAGAAAATCTCAATTCTCAACTCTAGAGCAGACCATACTTTTAGTCGTTGTTAGCTTACTCGAAAAGAATCCAATCTGAGTTGGAAACTAAACTTGAGTTTTCGGCCACGAATGAATCAAATAGCCTGCAGTTTGCGTAGTGCTTAGTTGAGGTTTCTAACCGCGGAAAAGGATAAAGGATAAAGGATTCGGCCTCTTCAATACCCTCTGCGGGCATGCACCGAGCGCACACTACTTCATAGTCGAAGAGGCAATTGTATGCGTGATTTCTTAAAAATTCTTAGGAAAGTGATTTTTCGGAATTTTTTTCAAAAAATTATAACTTTTGAAAGAAGAGCTCGATCAGCACAAACTTAGCTCAGTTAGTAATCAAATATAAGAAAAATTATGATAATGGCTTTCCTGGATTTTATCGCGCAGTTTCCAGATTTTTAGAATTTTTACTCAAAAATTCCGAATTTCGGATGTTCTCGTTCTTTCATTTTTATCTCTGCAATCTGAACATGCTGGAAAGTCGGCATGGGACCATTGGAAAATACATGCTTTACGCTTTCTAATAAAATTCAAAATGCGCAAAATCGTTATGATACAAAGAAGTTATGATTTTTTGAAAATGATGCGAACGAACTTTCCGGACAACCTAATACATATGATCAAAAATCATATATTAGGTCGTTCCGAAAGTAATGTCGCTTTTTTCAAACGTACACCACACCTCGTGAAACAAAGATATGTAAGAGATTCTGGTAGCATAAGATGCAGCATTTCATTCTCTTTCTAAAGGTTATATAATCATTGCACAAAATCCAATAACGTTTCGAAAAATTATCAAAATCTGCGACCCATGCTTTTTGAGAAGGCCAAGTTTCACAATTTTTCTATGTTTCTATAACAACCCTCGAAAGGAGTCCAAGTAATGGATGGATAGAGCAAATCCTACAGGAAACAGCACAACTTTTTTCTACTTTCCAAAGCCTGTCATAATTTTTGTATAGATTTTTGCTAGAACCACCGAATTTTAGCAGACTCGTCTCAGACACAAATGCATTAAACACCAGTAAATCTTCGGATTTTGAAACTTACAAAGATGAATTATGGTTTGGCAACAATTTTACAAACCAAGTGAGCATTCACCGCTTCAGATTAGCAACTTTCGAAAATTCCGGGTACAGCCTGAGGTGCCCTGGAAAACCTGAATTATAATGATTTTATCCCGAAAACTCAAGGAATCGGAAACAAAAAACAGCTGGTAGAATGAGGAGAAAAAGCTGCGTCAAATGACACCCGAGCTGCTTGCTGATTGTTGTTCTGTGAGGTTTGAGTTGACCAAATATGGAATTTGATGGCATTAAAATGGTTCCAGAAAGTATAAGAAGCAAGCTAAGAAAAAGAAATAAATCGTGCTGTGTCCTATAGGGTTTGCTCTATCTACTTGCCACTTGCACTTCTTCGGAGACTAGGTACAAAAATTTAGAAAAATAGCCGAACTTGACCATAGCAAAAAGCATGAGTCACAGGTTTTGGTAATTTCTCGAGGGCTCATTGATTATGCAATGAAATTACAACAATTAGAAAGAGAATGAAATGCTGTATCGAATGCTCCTAAGACCTCTTGAAAATCTTGATCCATGAATTGTGGCGCTCATTTGAAAAAAGCGACATTACTTTCGGAACGACCTAATACAAAAAACCATACTTGCCTAGAGTCTTTAAGTGTCGGTAATGAAGCAAAAAGCAATGCATTGATAAGCTCTCATTTCAGACATTACCCGCAGCTGCTTATGCCCACATTGTCACCAATCTGCCTTCCGATCACGTCTTAACCATCACATGCTTCTCTATTTGTTCTTTGGCAAGTGTTATTGTGAGTCAACAATTTCGGAGTCGATTGATAATGATCACCCAAAAAAATCCAACATGCTTTAGATTTCTGCCTACTTGCGATTAACTGCTCCTACACATGTAGCTAATAGCGGAAATACCCTACGTTCCAAGTAATTCCTTTCAGCGCTTGTGTGCAGTCTTTTGTGAAGAAATCTGAAAGCCCCTAATTGGTGTATTTGCAGATATCAAACAAAGGAAAACAGCAAAACTATGATTATTTACTTCTCCCTTTCACTTAATGAATTGTTGACAGGAATAATAATGGTTATTCTTATTTATGTTATCTACAGAAATGATGGAGCAGTTGAGATAAAAAACATTGGTTATGCCGCGGAAATGCTCGATTTGGTAAGCTTTCTGCGTAACATCCCTTCGAAAGGCAGATCAAGCTTTTTTCTAAATAAGTTGCAAAGATATCGTAAGAAGAGAAATTGAAAAACTGTTGTAGAAAGTATGAGAAGGGCAGAAAAAGAATTTATGGACAAATTTGAAGTTTACAGCTGACTAGCCTTCTGTAAAACGCGGTTGTGACACAGATTAAAAATTCGAACAACATCAGGAACATATTTTACTAATATATCATGCGGCTATCATTATTATCTATCTTTGCAGTCTTTCTATTCTCTTGCAGGTTACCGCTTATCGTGTTTTGGTAATCAACGTAGCCTTGATATATTATTGGTCCAAAGAGAAACATGCACGCAAAGTGAAGAACATAACAAGCCACAACGCTGAAGATCATTTTAAGGCCATGAAAGAGATGTGGAAATGAGAAAGAACATCAAAGATGTAGGGTTCGGTTGCGACCCTGTTCTTACCTCGTTTCACTTGAGGTGTTGTTTACTCCTATTGAAGTTTGATGTATAATTATGTGGTTTGATGAAATTTGCTAAATAAAACAACTTATCATGAAATTGACGGCTGATTTCAGGATATCAATAAGCGTGATCTTTCGATTTCATGCGCCAAATCCTTGGTTGACAACCAAAAGCTAGCCGCAAGTTCATCTTCGATCAAGACCATTATCTAATTTGAGCTTTACCCTCATAGTTTTAAGCACCGTGCTCTGTTAGATGAATTAACTATTGCACCAAAAAATTTGCAAAGTTTTCTTTTTCAATCGTTTGATTCGACAGTTATGAGGAGAGAATTCTGCATTGAAGAGCGCTTGATCGAAAACTGTTAGCATAGCGCAATCTTATATCTGACGAACCTCGATAACTGGTTTTTTACGCGCTGATGTCATATCTAACTAAGGTCGCCGATGTTCACAGAGCTGTACTTATCATAAGGAAAAGAAGGCGCGTCGGCGTCCCACCCCCTCCCCCTCCACCAAGAATTATTCTACAAGGCAAAAAGGTTCAAAATTATATCAATTTTTTCCACGTACTTTCATCTTGTAACCTGGGCATGTCGTATCGAATATGTGTAGTGCTGTTCCGCCAACCAGGTTGTTATGGTGGACCTTTATTGACTTTACGTTTCGACAAATATCGTATTTTTCGGAGGTCTGAAAGGAGATTGCAGTCAATTTGAACACCCAGACCAAATGGTACCGAAAGGAAAGCTCCAAAAATATACTTGTCCACACTACATCGGCGCATCCTACAGCTCTCAAACGTTCTATCATCTGTAATATGTACAAGACCGCTGTAGAAGTATGTACATGCGAGAGCGAACGGATTGAATCGCAACAGCTAGCACTCAGAATTGCTCGAGCAATGGCTACACAAGTACGCATCCCCGAAACCGAACATGTAGACGATTCACTGATTGTAGCCTTGTGCGAAGCGATAATAATGAGAACAGAGTCCCTTTCTGTGTGCCATTTGTCTCCGATAGTTTCAGTACGGCAGTAGACCGATGCATTGCACAAGCACAACTAACACAACTAAAGAATGAGATAGTACTGGTCAACATTCCTAGTAGTAACATCAAAAAGCGGTTGATCAGGAATAGATTGTATGACATGGAATGCATAATACGTAAATTACGGGGCACTCGGAAATAAAATAGGGGAGCTTTGTAGCCGATAAATCTGTACGTGGATACATATCGGTTTAGGCTGAGCTGCATAGCATATAGCTACTCGGACATAGGATCTTTTCAAACATTCTAGCTCGCTCATTACGTATAAACATGCTTTAATTCATAAAAACAATCTTATTTAATGAGCGCTAATCTCAGCAGCCTTCAAGGCAGCGTCCCGGCAAAAAATGGGTGCAGTTTTTGTGGCGATATTGAAGTAGACCTCCTAACTAAGCGATATCTGAACTTTAGCGAAAAGGGGGGGGGGTCTACCAAGTTCGCTCCGAAAGTAGCCCGGATTTTACGGCAGGCCCGAGTGTCGTCCGCACAGCAATTTCGAACTGCAAGGTCAGAGCACGCATAGCGCCACACTCATGAGCGCAGGATCCCGCAACGACTCTGCGACTCTACCTTGCATGCACCTCGTACTCGCCCGAGCCTACCGTAAGACTCGGATCACTTTTGTGGCAAATTTCAGGTTTGGTAGAACCCTTCGCTCCAAACTTTTGTCGTCGCTCAGGGGGTCTGCTTTAACATCGCCACAAGAACCCGGCAGTCATCTTTTTGGCGGGCGCTGTCTTTAAGAACATGATTAAGAAAACTAACGTTTCCTCGGTGCCTTCTTGTAGCCTAAGTCAATGATATTATGTATTCCTAAATTTTTGGAAAGATAAAGGTAAAGGCAGAAGTCTCACAATCAGTGATGAACTTAGTGAACTAATTTTATAAACCTGTTACATCTCAGCTGGTTTAAAAAGAAATTAAAGCCAACGTAAGTAATAGAAAGTACGCGTTTTCAGACTTCCTCACTGTAAAATTGCGTTTACTCGCATTGGCAATATAATAGTCACAACTCCGCCATCACAGCGAAGTGTTCACGACAAATTCAGGAAAAACGTAAAGCATAATAAATACTCGTGAAGAAGGAGTCAATGTTGAGAGTTACAAGCTGGCTCTGGAAACTCATATATGAGCAGTAACAAGCTGTTAAAAAATGGAAGAAGAAAAATTATTAGAGTGGAGTCCTACGAACTGTTACTTATACACATCAGTATCGCGAACAAAACAGCCACACAAAATGAGAACAATATAAACATGAAGTAGATAGTAGCAGTTGCACTGGCTATTTTGCTCGGCGGTTTTGACATCATGCACGATAGAATCTAAACAGAATCTCTCTAAGTAATACAAGTTTAAAGAATTGAGGCATAACGTTGATTTCACCTGAAGCACAACGAAACAAAGCACTGCTATGGCGATGTATACAATTATGAGAGCGTTTGCCCATGTAACGTTGAACCATAAAGCACCAAAAGCTTGCGTTGTTGCGATGAAGATAGCAGCTACTAGAAGTTCAGAATGTTGGTTGAAGTCTGGGAAAGCTGGATGTCAGAGATCTCCATATCACCACCATACTGTTACAATGAACGTGCAATCTATTTTTACACTCACTTCATCTGCAACATGGTATGTTAATTTTCAAAAGAACGGTTATGAGGCAAATCTTTAACAGGGTTTAAATTTTTCTGCTTATTCAGGGTAGAAAAAAAATACAAGAAGACAAAAAAGAAGACTGTTATGTTAACACTGTTAGGATCAACTTAACAGTCAAGTTTATTTTGACGCTATTCCGGATAATCACGACGTTGAATTTCAACTGGCTCCGATAACTTCGGTGGGAGCACTGTATACTTTGGACCGAATCGAATAAATATTCGAGTATTCGAATAAATTTCATTCGAAATTCAATTAAACGAAAATTTTAAATCTCGCATACATTCGATATTTGTTTACTCGAAATTGTCGATCTCGTAATTATTCGATTATTCGTGTTCGAAAATTTTGATTTTCGAAAATATCAGAGCACTCGAATATCTACTTTCAATATTTGAATTTTTTTCTCGATAAATTCGATTATTTGATTTTTTTCCACTTCGAAAATATTCGATATTCAATCATTCGACAATTTTCCTATTTCGAAAGTATCCGATAATCGATTATTCGAAATTTTTAATCTTCGAATATATTCGATTATTTGATTATTCGGAAAAATTTCGAGCATTCCAAAGTACAGAGCGCTGGCATGCTGCGCGGCTCGGCGAGCATGGCTGCGGTGTCATAGGGTCTGCAGACCTTGTCGTTGCCGAACAACGCTAATTGTCCGGCTTATATAACCTTCCACTTACCATAGCTGTTTCTCAGTCGCATACCCTAAATTTTTGTTCGGGGGGGGGCGGAGGGACGAAAATTCTTTTCTGATGAAGGTGCGTGGCTAACGCCATTTTTGGTACGCCAAACGACTTTTAGAAATAATTTTTGGTAAGCTTCAAAGTTATTTGGTATTAATTATTTATTTATTAGTTATTTACAAGCGACAAGTAACTTGCACATTTTTATAGCTCATGTAAGTAACTTTTAAAGATTCGCAGCCCCTTGTAAAAGAAGATAGAGGAGCGGGGGGAGGGCTCTTCTACTCTTCCTTATATCGTTTGCACTATCAATCAGTTTTTTCTATAGAAGTGCAGGGATGTGCGGACGCGTTTGTAAGCGCGGGACAGAAAGTGACAAACTCGTATGTGGAAACTTGTATTTTTTTCGCGCTATCAAGTGAACGTCATGTCTTATGTTGTGCTTGTGAGTTGGCGCTATGTATCATTCCGGGAGAACGCATTCTGCGGTGTTTCCTGAAGTTCCAAGGAAGGGAACTGTGGAGTTCAAGGAGGAACTACGGATTACCAATAAATCTTCTCAATTTCTCCCTTCCACTTTTCTTCATCAATTAAAGTAGCAGACTCTTTGGAGCTACCCTCAGGCACAAAGCACAAACACATGCTATGAGTCAAAAAACTCGCTCCAAATTATCAGCATAAGCTATCTCTACAAAGCAAATGGCAGCCTGTAACAGTTGCCCGAGCGGGCTGCGTATAAGACCGTCCCTCGTCTCATGTATCAGACGTCCTCCCGTTGTTAAGTGTCAAAAATCTAAAAAGCCTGTTTTGGCCATTTCCGTGCTTTTCAATGCGCATTTTAGAGACTAGCAGTAATGCCAGGTGAAAAAAATCCATGAAACAGTTATTGTCCGGGCTCTCCATTGAAACCTAGTTGGCAAAGTTCTTACAAAATATTCTCGAAAACTGTGGGGAGCACATTAAGTAAAAAAAATCTTACAAGCACAACCGAATCCGATAAGTCCTATGAAGCGATGGAGCCAATTAAAGATTGGACGAGCTACAGAATCGGGTGAACATCTCAAAAGGGCATTGAGAGGCTGTGCAATAGCTGCTGCCACTGCTATGATTCCAACCTGAATAGCCAGACGAATTTTATTGTTAAGAAGCAAGTCATTTAGCTGACCAATGAATGCACACTTCCAGCGCTAAAATCCGGTTTATTTATAGTTGGTCCTTCCCAGGTCCACTCTTTTACGAAAAATATCAGAAGCCCGGCAAGAAGTATTAGAAGCAGAGCTGTTACATTCAAAGAACGGTGAATCTATAAAGAAAAAAATAATGTCTCATTTCTTACTTTTCTTCCAGGACGATTTTTACTTACGTGAAACCACCATCTTACCCCGCAGGGGTTCGAATCTGGAAAATGATCCCGGAGAAATCTCGCAGCGAATATGGCCCCTCCAACGAAAAGGACCCAAGCAAATATCATCAGCATACCAGAAAATAACCAAAATTTTACAATGTAAAAATAAAATAGATTTACCGTGGATTTTAATCAGCCATCGTCTTCTATCCGCACTCATCCATGTATCTGTTGACTGGGGAGAATTGGGAGAAACACCTGAAACTTGCTATACAAACAGTAAGGGCAGAAAAGGTCATTTATTGGTTCTAACCTTTTTGGGCAACACTTATCCTATAACTCGAGATGTACGGAAAATCCGGTGATGACGGATTGAGTGAGTGCATGTTCAAAGCTAAACTTTTTCCTTTTGCATTTTTTGAAGCTAACTTGCAATTAGCTTACTTGTAGGACTCCTTGCCACTCCTCGTACAAGAAATATGTAATAACTATTGTTCAAATTAGGAACGTGTCTTATATTGCCCTAAATATTTGACAAAAGACGGAAATCTTCTAAGAGATTTAACTTACATTGCCACCTCTTTGTCTGAAAGAACAGTACATTCCAGATTCTCCCTTTTGCGCGAGAGCAAGAATCAAGTTTCCTCTTTCGTCTACCTATAAATTGGGTATCTTTGGGCATGCGAATAATGGAAAACAAACAAGCGGGTGGTCAGAGTCAAAGTGACCATTGCAAACATGGTGCATGCGGTTAAATATAACATAGAGAGATAACTTCAATCTGTCTTCCGGTTCAACTGAACGCTTTTGTAGGCTTCCCTCAAGAAAAGCGCACGTGCAAATAAAAAATTAGATATATAAACGCTCCGTAGCTTGCCTTCAAATGACTTATAGAACAACCATTTTGCATTGTTTGGCCGGCCTTGAACAAAAGGTCTTCTGTGTCCAAATTTAGTCTATACTTTTTCAAAGACTTGTGACTCACCCCCAGACGTGTTTAGCAGATTGAAGAATTTAATATTTTTTTATGCTGCATCCACTGGCACGCATCTTTTAGGAATAGCCGCTTTGACTTGTGCCCATTCCCTTGTGAGCATAATCAAATAACCTGTACCTGTTGTTCAGATTCACTTAGAGGCTGGTTAGATTTTCCAACATTGTAACTGAAATGAGCACTTGGCTGTGAATTTGGGTAGAAATTGCACTGCGTGACCGCATCGTTACCCTGAGATGTAAGTAAGTTTGGAAGGCCGAGTTTTTTATTTTGTTACAAACCATAGAGTTGTCGTCAGAGAATCCAATTGCCATGTATGTGTTAGCGTTGTCGTAAGCACTGAAAACAATTCAATAGGAAAAGACAGAAAAAGTTCCTGGTAAAGTGTTAACTGTCGTGAAACGACTCACTATACACAAGGAAATTACTCCACGATACACAAGTAATTATTGAGCTGAACTCCTGTTTTGTGTTTTGTTAATTTTAGAAAGAATGCTTTGCGCGTCAATTTCCCAACATCGCGGAAGATGATAACCGAGATAACTTTGAGGGACGTTGAGCGCAGGTGCTTCATCGCTCTTGTTACTTTTTCATATTTGCATTTTTCTGTCGTATCTTCTTGTGACATCTATTATCAAAGTATATAAGCTCGTGTTACGGTAGACTCATATTTGCTGAGTTAATTGAAAAGTTTTTCCATTCTTTTTCTTTCATTCAAGAACAATCATACAAAACTTTATGAAAGTCAAGTAAGTATTTACTAGAAAAGGATAAACATATTATAGCAATTATGTTTGCCTCATATATCCTTTTCATCAGTTATTCCTGTGTATCTTTTAGTATTTTCTACTCATTCTGTATTTGTTATGTAGTTTTAGATTGTTATTTTGTGCCTGTTATTTTGTCGTTTTTTCTTTCATAACTACTTCAGTAAACAGTTTGATTACCCAAGTTTGAGTTGAGATACGCATCATCAAGAGTAAGCTCGCGTGGCAGCAATTCAAGTACAGTGGTCTCTTGGTGTTCGAGGGTTATCGTTCTAAGTATATATCGAGTTACCTTAACACATAATGCAATGAAACTCAAAACTCATTAAAGGTAGCGTCCAGGCAGATCTGGACCTATGGGGATTTTACGTGAAAAGTACTTTTGGGGCCCTAACTAAGACACTGCTCATGCGGCAGCGCAGGTAGTGCTCTAAAGGCTGAGATATTCCCCTCGAAACTGGACCCCGCGACCGTATTCGCATGGATTCATGGCAGTTTCGCGCCAGGACACACGCTTTGCGCCATGAATCCATCCGAAGTACGATCGCGGGGTCCAGCTTCGAGGGGCACATCTCAGCGCTACCTAAGCTGCCGGTTGGGCAGTGGCTTAGTTGGGGCCCCAAAATTACTACCCACGTGAGATCCTCATGTGTCCAGACTTGCCTGGACGCTGCCTTTAACTTCAAATTGAACAGAGAAACCATACTGAGCTCCGTATGTAGTTCTGCTGATTCACCTTTTACGTACCCACAGACATTTACCAAGACAGCGCGAATGACATATCTGTCTAGAAGCTTCTTTGGAGATAAAGTCAATGCGACTCAGCACAGCCTTCCAAAAAGTCAAGCCGCCTGTGATTGCTTTTTCTCTTCTCAATGGAATCATTCTCAGAAATTATTACCAACTTCTCTCGTTTTGTATAGTCATGCGCAATCCCAAATAAGACGTAAAGACTTTAGAGTATAGGAGATCCCTCAAACATTCAAACGTCTATCAAAATGTCACATTCTAAGCGGTGGCGTGCTGAGGGGGGGGGGGAGGGGCGAACCGAGAATGCGTTGCGGAATTTTTGAAAGTCACTTACATGAGTTGCAAGATGTGCAAGCGACTTATGTATACTTGTAAATAATTAATATAATTTTAAGAAATTGTTGAAAACTTGTTTAGCCTTACAGAAAAAATTTTTGGGGTGTGGCTGCCGCCATACTTAGAAAAAATTTCTAGCTTTTATGGACCCAAAAAATATCAGGAAGCATACCAAAAGTTTTTTCGGAGTGCTGGCTGATGCCGTGCACCTTCATTAGAAAAAATTTTCTGCCCCCCCCCTCCCCGAACGGCTATCCTGGGTACGCCACTGATCCTAAGATAAAACAAATGATAGGGAGAGCGATCATTCGTTCACATCAAAGAGGGGTATATAAGGGGTTTCTGTCAGAGAGGGGTATATACGGGGGTAGTCATTGATAACATGACCTCATGATGAAATAAATTGGAGAGTCTGTCAAGAGAGTTGAGGGGCAGGGAGGGAATAAACAAGTTTTTTTTCTAACTTGCTGGATTGAACTCACATTGAAGTACTTTAGCAAATTAGGATTGAAATTAAGACCACAGTGCATTATCGCACGGTAGCGCGTCATTTTGATAGAAATCAAACAATCTGAGACGTAAACGACATTCCCAGATTTCCTCATTATATATTTCATCCTGCTAAATTACCTCAGCAACTCCATATCGACCCAACCGTCACTGCCTGGTCTGTAAGAAAACATCTGTCTGCAGTCGCTGCGGTTCTTCAATTACAAGTATTGAGAGGAGTGCTTCCGTGAAAAATCATTAAGGAAACTCAAAAGTATTGTACCTGACAGCCTTCTGGTACAAATATACATTGCTTTTCCGTTCCGCAAGTGGACCGATCAAATTGAGCAGATACAGGCTGAAAGATGAAGTCAGTGCTTTGTTTAGTGAAGACACTCTGGGAGCACTTTTCTAACTTTCTTAGATCTCTTTTCATCATATAAAAGCCTGATAAACTGAACTGAGTCTCTTTCTTGTAAGAAAATCGATTACTTTGTTGGAAAAACATAAACTGTCACTAAAACGTAAAACTCAAACGCTTATTTCATTTTTGTAAACTCCAATTCCAAAGCAAAACTTACTTGTACAAGCAACAGTATGAGGCTGACAACCATCGCAAATGGAAAGCAACTTTACTGAATCATAATCTAAAAGCGTAGAAATCAAAGCTGCACGTACGCAATCATGACGATTATGGAAGCCCTCGGCTAACAAGCGAGCAGGTGTTTCAATTAGAATAACGTTTGTTTGTCGGATTTCACGCAAGAAAACACCTCGAGTCGTCTAGGGAATGACGGCGATTAGTGAAAGGAAGCGAACTCGTTAATAAACTCAATGATTTGTAAGACAGGGTTGCTGAGCAACACTTCTGTATCCCCATAGTTATTCGAAATTAAAACATTAGTAAATTTAATGATTTAATTTATTATGGCGACAAGTGCAGTAGTATTTCCATATTCCACAAGCCGTTCCATCTCTGAAAATGCCAGTGATTCTTTTCATAGATTATATATCTTCAATTCTTATCAAGACGGTGATATGATAAGAAAGGACATTCACAACAACCTCAAGAATAACAAATCATACAGTACGTGGTCTAAATAAACAGTATGAATTATTCATGCCTTTATTCAGGTTTCTAACATAGTGCGCTCGAGGCATGAAAAAATAAAACATGTCTGAAACAGTGAGCATAAAAGTGAACTTGAACAGGACACAGCACATTATATTGCATTGAAATTAGCCTTAGCCAAACTGTTGTTGTAAGAACGGCAGGGATTGACTTGTGTAAACAGTATTCTGAAACCTGTAGGTCTTACAATACCAAAGCATCTCAATTTTGGCTCGCAAACTTGCAAAACACCCCTTAAGACAAACAAAAAAATCACGCCAAATCATAAGCTATAGCTTTTGCAGCTCGACAACTTTAGCTCCCCTCGCCATGTGCTTGTCACCTTACAGCCCATACCCTATCAAAGATCTTACATGCTTCCGGACAAGCTGATTATAACAGCTCACTCCTGCGTCTCTAGTATGGATATTAAACCCCGATAGATCATATTCACACACACAGGAATGCTATCAAATACTCGGGAAAGAAAAGAACGAGATTGCAGGGCCAGCCGCCAAGTTCACTCCCGTTGATTTTATTCATCCACACATCCACACACCTTAACGATAAACTCAACGAGGGATTGATTTCACTGACGTAACTGAAATTGCAAATATCCTGCATAACAATTGATAATGAGGACAACTGCAAATCTTTATTTTCAACTAGCTGGCTTTCCCGGTCCAGCCCGGGTAACCGATCGAAAGAATGGTCAAAACCACACTTTGTCTTTCCTCCTTCCCGTCTTTTTCGTTCGATTTAGTCATGTCCTCTGTTCCTTCTCTGCAGTCTCAATACTGCACTGGAAGCTCTCCCCCCCCCCCTCCTTACTCTTTTGCATGAGCTTACCTCAGAACGGTTGTTTCAATTAACTGCATCTTCTTCACCTTTAAATAAAAATTAGCTTGACTGCATTGTTTACACCAAAATGTGCAAGTGATGATAGCCGCTATTAGTGTTTACTTTCATTGCGAGCTACCAAAGATCAATAAATCGGTAGAAAGATCCAGCGAATTTCGATGAAAGTAGCCTAAAACCGTCTCCCGGATCGGGGAAATTTATCTGGAAAGTTTCAGCTCAATCAGCTGCTTCGCGCGTTTCTGTAGCGCACATACCCTCAAAAAGACAATTTTTGAGTTTTATACAGGGTGTCCCAAAAAAAATGTTACGAACGTTTGATCGTTAATATCTCTCTTCCCAAGAAGTCTTTTGCCTTGCTTCAGGGACCGTTTTGTAGAGCTGGCTTCAACTTAGATTTGCATTATAGAACAAATCACTCATTTCTCTTCATTACTGTAGGATTACGGTAGAAACTTGAAATATATGGTGTAAATGTGGAAAAAGCTGCCGTTTCAAAATTTTTCAAAAAATTGTGGAAACTTGTGTAATAGGGTTTTAGGGACGCTGAGTTCAATACTCAGTTATTCACAAGATTACGAAGCTTTCTAAACGGTGTAATCGCACTTTTTAGGAACATTGAAAAAATGGCCGCTACCTCTTACCTGGCATAACTCTTCAATGAAGCATCATAATAAGTCGGAAACTTTACAGTTAATCAGCAACTCTAATTAGCCTAGTGTAGAAGCTTTCAGGCTGTTTTGCTTCTTTTCTGAGGCAAAATATGGCCTTTCATTGCTTGAAACCCTCTTTCAAGTTTCTACCGTAATCCTACAGTAATGAAGAGAGATGAGTGATTCGTTCTATAATGCAAATCTAAGTTGAAGCCAGCTCTACAAAACGGTCCCTGAAGCAAGGCAAAAGACTTCTTGGGAAAAGAGATATTAACGATCAAACGTTCGAAACATTTTTTTTGGGACACCCTGTATATGTGAAGATACGGTGAGAAAGGGAGAAACGGTTCCCTAGTGAGAAGGAAAGATGTCATTCTAAACGAGACATTCGAAAGTGTAGCGCTAAATTTGCGAAAACCTACGTACCCTAAAATCTCACAGATGAGTCCCCCCATCAGATAAGTCAGTCTACAGATAAGACCGCTTTTTTGACTCAGATAAGGCCCTTCAGAATCAGATACGCGTCGACAACGTAAACAAAAATTAATGTCATATCCTCAATCGTAGCAAAAAGATGAGCAAAGTTTTCGGGAAATGCGGTGAGCAAAAGATTCTTCTGGTGCTCTGCTGATAAAGACCTGGTGGGTAGTAGACTGATTTCCATAACTGAATTTCTTGCTAATCAGTTTCGCTATTCACATCCAGTTATAGAAGACTCAATCAAGCAAATGACTGAGCTTTTCATAAAAAAATTTCATACATACTGCTGCGCACGCCTGCATGAGCTACGAAAATGTCCCAGATATTTATGTATTTGTTAATGACTATAGGAACCATTTTTTGAAAAGTCATTCCAAGGTTGTAGGTGCGAAACTTCGTAAAGCACTTTCTGGGCAATATCCTAGCGTACGACAAAGTGCATGAGAAATTTCAAAAGATTCATGATTCCGTAGAGGAAAGCAAGCTCTACAAGATATTCTGAAGTATTCGCACAAGGATTGATTCGCGTTGAGTGTGAAGACTGAATTAGAAAATCAAAAGATATACAGAACGGACTTTCGTCCAAAAATGAACTTCCAACTTGATAAGAAAAACAATCTTTAGTATACGTCATAAATACACTTGCTGTGCTTATTCCATAGCTTATATCGAGAAAAAATTGGAGGTTTTTGCAAATATTGCTGGGTTGTTTTCATGCGGATATTCCTTTGCTGCGTATCTCTAATTAAGATTATTTTTGCACCGACCCGATAATAGTCCGAAAGTGGGTCCGAAAGTTCGTGCCGTTTTTCAGACCCAGGCTCAAACCACTTAGAATAGAGATAGACAAAAGTGTAAACACCATACGATGCAGAATTTCTTCCTCTCTCTAATGGTTATGTTTACGTTCAAATTTTCTTGATGTCTGCTCAATAATCAAAAAGGATCTCCAACCCATGATTTTCACCCATCTTGAGTTCGGCTACTTTTTAAAACTTCCATTCTCAACTTTTGCGCTAACTTTGATAACATTTGGATAGAATAATCAAAAAGAATACAATACAGTTTTCTGGCATCTCTAGCTATCTTTTCAGAACTTTTGAAAATGATCTTCTGATGCTATCAAATTCCATATTTGGGCATTTCCTTCTTCACAGAACAATAAATAACGACCAACCAGGGTCATTAGGTACAGCTTTGCTCCATGCTGTCGCTGAGTTGTTGTAATGGTTGCACTTGAGGCTGCTTAGAATAATTCTATTGTTTTCTTTTGTTCGGTCGCGGCAGCTTCCTACTAGAAAACTGGGCAGATCGCAAAGGTACGTGAGCACCTCTTTTGAATCTCTTTGTCACCACTGTAATGTTTCCATGAACATGTTTCAGAATTTGGAGTGCACCTAGTTCGCGAATTATATAGCGTGCTTGAGTCTACTATTGATGGAGTAGTGGCTAAGATTGCGCATGCATTATCTGCTAATTTATGTACTCCGGAGAAATTCTGCTCTATGGAATAATTGTTCTTCGAGCACGTTTAATGGGTAAGTGACTAGAGAACAAGTTGTTATAGATGGTAGTGAACAGTCTGCATACTAAATTATTTCCATGCATACCTCAACAGGTAAGTAGAATTTGTATTTCTCGTGCAAAGACTTGTTTATTCTGTTCAAAGCTGAAAATGATAACGACTGTAATGTTAGGATGGTTACTATGTACTCATGCACATAGAACTCTGCTACGTGTGGATAACAACATGATGATCGTAGTTATCGCATGCTGTTGTAAGCTATTGGCTTCTCACCCACTACAAGAGAGTACAAGAGACGAGATGTCCCGCCTTTTGGTGTTGAGCTTGAGCCTACATCGGGATTGTCGTTTTTATATAGTGCATCGTTGATACATATGCCTTGTAGCATATGTTAATCTAGCACATTTTTTCTAGTCTATGCTCGTTAGTGAGAAGTGAATAAAATATTGCAGAGGATTTCTTGTCACACTGAATATGAATAGGAAGATAAAGTAGTCGGAACTGATGGTAACGCTACCCCAATAACGAGTCGTTACGCTGTAGCTGATTCCGGCCGGCGTCCGCGCCTTTCTCGTGCCAACACCGGCTGGCGGGTGGCCGCTGGCCGGCTCTGCAGGAACTGAGGTGTTGCCTCGGCCGTCACCAGCCGCTAAATGTGTCTGAGTAGAGAAGAATATGGGCCGTCCGCGCTGCGCGCGGTGAGCAACGCTGTTGCGTCCGCCGAAGATAGAAGGAGCGCAGAGAAAAACAGGCGGCGAAAGTGCACGGGGAAAGAGGAATGACGCGCAATACACACCTTGCGCACTCTCCGCGCCCTGCGCGGACGGCCTATACCGTAATCATTACGAGTATGTCTCAATTGCCTCGGGACCCTTCGTTGCTTGGCGTACTGCCAGCAAAAGGTTACAACAAAAGCTTATGATTAACGAAGACGCGTATACATGATAAGGGGATGCCCGTCTTGTGTTTGGTCTAATAAGAAGTTATGGTACTTTTTTAGTAGTATGGTAGTTTTTGTTCCTTTATGCCATCAGGATAAATTGTTAGTTTTCTATCCATATAGCAGTGGTGGCCCCACGATTTCATTGGGGGGGGGGGGGAGAGTAAGGGAAAACGACGAATTTTTCTCATTGAGGTGCATTGCATTAGCTAAACATTCGTGTCTTTTGGTATTTCCAATTTGAGAGTTACAGAAATAAACCTCTTTATGGAGCAAGCTAAATCGATCAGCATTTATTATATAGAAGGCAGCTATAGCGATCCTTCGCAATAAAAATCAACGATTAAGAAAGAGAATCACTCGGGTAGTATGGCCAGACATTAAAAATGTAAACAAAAATACAAAATGACTAGTCGAAAGCTATATAACGGCAAGTTGAATCAACTTGAGTGTCGGAAGAGAAAAGCAGTGAAGCCACTGTATGAGAAAACCTTGAGCCATGTCGGAATGGCTGCGCATACCCTACGCTTAGAGCAGCCATAGCATTAGTTGAGCACTCAAAGAAGCTTAGATAAATATCATTATGATCAAAATAGTTACAATGCAGAAAGAAAATAGTCCGAAGATAAGGTAGAGAGCAGTGGTTGCCCAGAGTGGCTGAAAATATGCTATTATGTCGGAATGAAAAATTTGGTCATGGATTGTCCAATAAGTCTTGCACCAAAAAAGATTTTTAGAGAAGTTTTTTTTTGAAATTGTTTGAACCCCATTGACTTATATCAAGCAATTTTTTTGAGGTAAAATTCTGTATTTATTTACGCGAGAGGATTTTTCATAATATTCAAAAAGTCAATAAATGTCAACGACTATGACTTTTGTAGTTCCAAAAATTAGGATAGAAAGCAAAATTAAGAAAATTAGCGTTTCTAACCAAAACTAGAATTCGAATTCGAATTGAAATTCAAAATTTAATTGAATTGAAATCCAACTGAAGTCAAATTTGGAGCTTTCCCCTACCAGTCTAATTCACTTGAACTGATAAATCTATGTTCTAGAATATCTGGTGCAAGACTTATGAGACAATTTGCGAAATCAAATTGTTCACCTTTTTGTTGATTATCTTTGGTGGGTTATTGACAACTCGTCCAGAATCGTCATATTGATGTCCAGACGATCGGTTTCGCATCTCCATGGAGCCTGTTTTGCTGGATGGTTTTGTCTTCAAGTAGGAAAAGATCTGAAATTGTTCAACATTTAGAACGTATCACTTGAGAAATTTGAAAATGGGAACAAACACTTACTTCAAATGCTATGAGAGTGAGAATAGCTATAAGGACATAAAATATCACTATAGCGAATGCCCAAGCAGGATCCGACCATAGTGACATAAACGAGTTTGAAGCGATCAATAGAGCGATTACTGTAATTACAAAGAGATCATGATCCTAAACATAGCGCTGTATAGTGTCTCAGAAAAAATCTGGAAATTTGGGTTTCTAATGTGGAAACTGATTGGGAGGTCTTGAGAAAACATTCCAAACAACTTTATAGCATTTATTTTTAGTCGGAAAAATACACCATTAATTCCAGCCCAGACTGTATTTCTACCGTACGCGAGGACGCTGATTGGTCCTTTTTGAAAGTCAAAAGTCTCCGGATTTGCGCGAGTTACTGTCTTTCATTTCTATTAGCGTTTATTATGAAAATACATTTATTGAAAAGCAAACTTACTAGCACAAATGAATCCAGTGATTCCTATAATCCGATGAGTCCAGTTGAAAATGGGTCGTGCACCTGTGTCCGGAGCACAGCGCAATAGCGAATTTAGTGGATTTACGACAGCTGCCAGAATGGCAATAAGTCCGAACTACAAAAAAGAAATCAATAAAATATAAACCCAGATAGCTGGCAACTTGCCAATGAATGAACACTTCCAGGAGTCCAGTTCTTCTCTGCAGACTTATTGACCGATGGTCCTTTCCATGTCCACTCATTTGCTATGAAAATTAGCAGCGTTGAAATAAGAATGAGAGGAAGTGCGCAGAGATTGTAGGTCCGATGGATCTGAAAGATTCTACTCAAATGTTGAAAAGGCGAGGAAAATATCCAAATCCTCACATGGAACCACCACTTTAGTCCACACGGGGTAGATGTGGGGAAATGATCGCGAAGATATCGTGCTGATAGTATAGCACCAGCACTCAACATAAGCCATGCAAGAACCATCAGGGCTCCTAAACACCTTATTCTAAGGTTGTCTAGGAAAATCGGAAGTTTCGCAGAGCAAGCAAAATCCGCAAAGGTTGTGCGGGATTTTGTTTAATCAGATAAGCGAGTGATCAATAATGAACTTCTACAATTGTGTAGTTAAAATCATGGAAATTAGAGGAAACCTTTGCACTTTTACTTTAGCTTCTGAGGAAGTTTGGAAATGTTATACAAACTTCCGCACAACGCTTTTGGAACTTCCCCGAATACTTTGCGGAACTTCCGCTCTGTCCTCTATGCAAATTAAATGCATGAAGAATGATGGAAAAAGTTGAAAATTTCTAATTGAAATTCAGATATTTAGCATTTCAGAACACAGAAGAAAAAGCCCACCAACCATGGAATCTGAAAAGCACAAGCTTGGTTGCTCTGCTAATATGATGTTCCTCGGGTTCGGCAGCTTTTGGCTGCGCAGTATCATCAGCTCTCGAACGATTCACTCCGACAGCGACAACGGGGAACCTTGGCACGGTATCGTTGGTCGAATGATCCACTGTGACAGCGACAACGGGGATCCCTAAAATTAAGAAATAATGGTTTTCTCTTCCTTTTGCCCTTGGAAGGTGTTTGAGGTTTTAGAGATGTAGATTTTATTTTGATCTTACAATAGAAAACAGCGAGCTAAATTCCGAGAAAAATATGATGTTTTTTTTTCAAAAATCTCATGTGAACTTTGAAAGTATGGTAGGCTCCGCCTCTTTTCGACCCCCCCCCCCACCTAACTCGTCATGTATGGGAATTATGACTCTCTTTAATACAACAGGAACATATGATACTTCTGATATTCTCAAAAAATAACGTTGTACTTATTCTGCATTCGATGTTTACTGTGGGAGCACTATCCGTGATGACTTTTTAAAATGTTATTACGCTTGTAAAAAAGCAAACCAATATGAAAATAAAAGCATTATATGCTTGGACTTTTCCTCACCTTGCGCTGGAGTTTCTCTCTTTCTCACTTCGGCCACATTAATCTTTCTATCGGAAATATAAGGGAAATTCGGTGAGTTAGTGTCCAGTGCGTGAATATCCAAGGCTGAAAACCCCAAGTTCAGAAGCAACTCATGCATTTATAATTTTTGAATATATCTAGAAACGTGCAAACCTCTGTGATCTTTCGCAACTCCTCGAGCCAAGAAAATGAAATGTTTATCGTTGAGATAAGGAGCAAATCTGTTCTCTCCCTAGAGTTTTACTTAATTCAATATGTTTTTTTCCGAAAATCCTTACATTGCCGCTTTTTTGTCGGAAATGACAGTACATTCCATCGTCTCCTTTATGGGCATGAATGAGTTTCAGATGTTGCTCTTCGGCGACCTGAAATTAAAATCGCATAAAATACACAAAATATAAAAATTTCAGAGTAAAAAATCAAATTGTCTTTCTTTTATCCTGGTTAACTACAGGGTGGGGCAAAAGTCTGGGAGCCTACTTTGCAGTGCTGTAAATCAAGAAACTACCGACGATTTTGACTCCAAATTTGTGCCACATGTTGCTGCGATCATCCTCTACAAAACACACTTTGGCTGGCTGAAAATGCTTGCTATATGTTTTTGTAGGAGTTGGGTTTATCAAACAAGTGCTCTGCAAAACGAGAAAATAGAAATTTTTGTTCTTCACAACTTATTTCGTAACTAACGATACAGTGGATATTCTAAAGCACTTCGATGCGTATAATGTAGAGGAGACTTCGCGCTATCAATTCTTAGCCGTTGCGTTTGTCAGATAGTATTCTTTTGAAAACGCAAAATAAAAATTTGTGTATACTACCTGCGTGCCAGCGGCCATTTTTCTTTAAAATAAATTTTAAAGCTATAGGGGCACAGCAAGCACTGAATACTAGGCTATATTCTTTCCATGAGTCTTCTATGCAAGCGTGTACTGGTGTTCGATCGATCAAGCAATTTCAATACTTTTCAGATTACGATTTTTCGCTCCCGTTCGCGCAATCGCATCCAGATTTCCAGCATACGAGTACACTTGCCTTTAATTAAAATTTTAATTTTTTTCCTAAACCTGCGAAAAAAAAATTTCTTCGCAGTGCGTTGTAGCCAAAAGCTTGCTCTCTCACATCGCATATTTGCCTGGTGAAATAAACAGTTATCGTAAAGGCGTGGGACGAATTTCATCACGACTGTCTGCGTGCCACGACAGGCGGACTCGCCAAGATTTCAAAGGGCTGCTTTGAAGCCAGAAGAGGCAATCTCAAAATTTGAAAGCAGCGCTGTATTAGTAAAGGTTCGATTTATGTGTGCACCGAATTTTTTGTTCCTAGGCACTTTCCTTCTGATTTTATCTGAAAAAGTACTAGGCTCCCAGACTTCTGCCCCACCCTGTAGTGTGCCAAATATCTAACATCATAGAAGTGAAAAAATATCGATTTTTCTGCCAATTCGCTCACCTTATCCGCCTCTGTTGGAACAATGTTGGATTTACCGACATTATAACTGAAATGCGCACTTGGCTCTTTGCCAGGTGGAAATGTGCACTGTGTCACTGCATCGCTCCCCTAAACAATAAACTGCTCAAAAAATTCGGAGAACAACTGGAGAAATTGAAAATGACCATCTCGTTATCACCGGAAAATGCGACGGCCATGTAGCAGTTGGTAGGGACATCGTTCGAGCTGAAAATTTTTTTCTATATTGAAGCATAATTGACAAATAAATACGGAAGTCAACAAATAAAATTTGTCTGGATCAATAAGAAGTTATGATAGCAAAATTTACACGAGGATTTTTTTATTAGGTTGTCAAGAAAATAATGTCCGTTTTTATTTGCTTGCTTTAACAAAGCAACCAGACTCAACCCAACAAAGGGTAAAGGGTACCGTTCGATAGAGCAAAGCTAGCTCTACAAGATGGCACTCATGTCTTTGCGCCATGCTCGATCCACGGAGAGTTCGAACTCAAAATCTAAAGATTTCCAAATGCCCAAAAAATCGAAAAAAATCAGATCTTCGTCCAAATAATTTCTACAAACCTCCCACTCGCTCACATCAATACTATCGATATCTGATATCCATATGTGCGATTCCGTATTTTTTTCTTGACTAGAAACTGAGAAAACGAAAATTTCCCTGATTTTCTCAAAGCAAAGCTGAGCCGTTTTTGCATATGTAATTCTATACTACAAGCCTAGGTCATAACTGTAGGTTTTCAGCCTATTTCGAGCTGTACTTTTCGAGAAATGTCGATTTTAGCACTGAAACTGAAACGAAAAAATCCGAATTCGTTATTTTTCGAAAACTACCGGTTGGAATGGGCTGAAAATCTATAGTTATACTTACCTAGGCTTGTAGTATAGAACTACATATGCAAAAACGGCTCAGCATTGCTTTGAGAAAATCAGGGAAATTTTCGTTTTTTCAGTTTCTAGTCAAGGAAAAAATACGGAATCGCACATATGGATATCAGATATCGATAGTATTGATGTGAGCGAGTGGGAGGTCCGTAGAAATTATTTGGACGAAGATCTGATTTTTTTCGATTTTTTGAGCATTTGGAAATCTTTAGATTTTGAGTTCGAACTCTCCGTGGATTGAGCATGGCGCAAAGACATGAGTGCCATCTTGTAGAGCTTGCTTTGCTCTATCGAACGGTACCCTTTGCCCTTTGTTGGGTTGAGTGTAGTTGCTTTGTTAAAGCAAGCAAATAAAAACGGACATTATTTTCTTGACAACCTAATAAAAGAATGAATTCAATTTCTAGTATTATTTACAGTATTTTGTGAAGCAACACTCCTGAAGAAACCTAGAAAAACGCCTAAAACTCATACATATTTTGGGGGGTGGGGGGGGGGGGAGGATGGAGGGGAGAAGAATCCTGCAGAAATTTTCCGTCTTGAAGAATTTGACGAAGCCACTTAATCCGACCATTCATTGCATATTTTTATACCCCGCAACTCATTAGTGTACCGTATTGTTTTTAAAGTTAAAGAAAAGCCTCGCGTCGAGGTGCAATTTTTACAAAAATTTTATGGCCAAAATTTTTTTTTTGTGTACAGCTCCACAATCTTCACTGCCTTTTGACTACTTTCAACTATTTGATACTAAAAATTATTACTTTATTTTTAATCACAACATTTCTGACTTCCCCTGTACCTATTCACCAAAATTCACTTTTCGAACGAAACAAATTGTCCCCTTACTTCTATTTGTTCCACTTTCAAGCAAATTCGACGTCATGCTATCAAGACTAGCCTCCCATTTCCTGTTCTTTAAAGTACTTGGGACTCTCAATGAAAACCCAAATGCATATAACTTTTCTTTTGAAGAGGTGTTATTGAAAAGAACAGGTCTAATGGTAAGAACTCCTCTTAGTTCCTCTTGGCAACGCGAACTTAAGATGGGTTTCTCGGTCTTGGAGCGAATTATTAACAGGGAAGCAGCTGTGTGGTAGCTGAGTTTATATGTTTTGCGGTTTTTGGATTGAATGACCTTGGTATTTAGCATTAAAAATTCATAAGCCCCCGAACCTAGCTAACTCGATGTCAATCCAGCCATCTTCATGACCTTCGTAGGAGAACATTTGTCGACAATCATTTCGAGTCTAAATGCAAGACATATTCTTCAAGAAATCTGAGAATAAAGTCAAATTTTAAAGAAAAAAAGAATACCTCACAACCCTCCGGTACCAAAATACATTCCTTCTCTATTCCACATGTGGATGTGTCGAAATGACATGCGGCAAGCTGGAAATTCCAGATTATGAAAATGGGCGCCTTACTAGTCCATAGCAGTCGAATAGAATCAACCACCATTGATGTAAAATGAATGAAAAAGATTTGCCTATCTATATGGCTCGGAAGCGAAATTACTCTACCTGAACAGCGAAGAATTGATAATTATTGTTTTATAGATTTGCCTTCCAAATCGAAAATTGAGCGGAAGTGATATGTGTTTAGACATCTAAATTTCTTTGTAGCTATGATTTTTACTTGCCCAGATCAAAATTTTGAACGTATTTACTTTTTTAGACCAGTTCAAAAATAAAAGCATAAGTTTACTTCCGATTTTGCGCCAGATTGCACTTCATTTCTGATTTCCACTCAACTTAAAAGAACTGACTTTTTTAGTCTGAGGGAGTCATAAACAGCAGTACAACAGGGAACTTCAAACTCTGCTGAAATGTTATTTCTGTGATAAAAGAAGAAGACAGGAAATTTTCCCCAAGGAGAATTTGAGAGAAAGGTAAGCAAGAGAAAATATTCCTCAAATCCTCAATCAAAAAGCTTGATCCAATTTCCGGTAAGTCTCTGATGATGGAAAGCACATCAATTTGTTTAGCTTTAATACCATAACAAAATTTTTTGAAAAATTTCAGTCATAGACTGTTTAACGATTTTTGTCAAATAAATTTTTTGGCTTCAGAATTTCTGGTACTTTTTAAATTGAGCTCTGAATAGAAAACCTACTTGGACCAACAAAAGTGCGGTCAATAGCCTCAAGTTCATCCTGAAAATGATTTACTGAGCTAGCATAAAAAGGTAAATAGAAAATACATTAACGAACATGATTAATGCTGGCAAATTCTATGACATTCATCGAAATTTGCTAAACGGCAAAGAAAGGATAAGGAAAACCTTCGCTTTTATTTGGCGACCAAGGCCGAAAAAGCAGTGGTCGGTGAAGTATGCATGGAGAATATGATATTCAAAAAGTGACACAATTACATCATAGCAAACCTTATTTAGTGACACTGAATTGCCAAAAATTCTTAAGGTAATTGTCACAGTATCTATGCTGTTTATAGCAACATCTTCCCCTTTTTCTGCTCTTCAATTCCAACCTGGCAATTTCTAGATTCGCAACTGATTGTGAGATGATTTGATTGAAGAGAAGAAAAACTTGATTAAACTGGTTTCAATCTAAGAATATCATCAAATTCTTTGAAATCGAGTTCAGATTATGGAATCTTGATGCTGTTCTATAGAGCAAATTGAGCCATCCCAATTGAGTGATGCCATATAGGGAAGAATAATTTGAGGTTGTCATTACCAGCAAGCAACATTAATAGTAAGGAGTAGTAATAAAATTTCTTGAAGGTGGAAAATGATAACATTGAAGCATAAATTGTTATGATGGAGAGGAGTGATCTTTTAATGTTCCAGCGAGGAGACCGAACTGATCGGGGTTGAAAGATTCGCGTTCCTCAGCATTACATTAGGTTGGCTAAAAAATAATTTCGCTTGTTTACGGTCTTTAGAAATGACACAGATAGATATGTGTGTATATGTATGGTACCATTCGAAACAGTAGATCAAGGAGAAGCTGGTGGTCAACTTTTTATGCTCAAAAATTATTTTTTTGATGGCGAAATGGCAAGTTGCATGTCAAAACGAAATTATTTCTCAGCCAACCTAATAATTTAACAGAGTAATTATGATAACATTTCATGGGTTCCAAGAATTATGCGCAAACAGAAAAAAGAAGTGGAAACAATAGCCAAATTAAATTTTGAGATTAAAGATTTTAGTGCAATTCATCTCAAAATATACTCATTTCAACGGCTTCAAGTTTGAGAACAACGTCGAACAAGTCTGGATACTTAAGATTTCTAGCAAAAAACAATCAAAGGTAGATTTTGCCTGAGCAGCAATTCGTACGATCCATTCGTGGGCCGGGATCCTGAACTCGTAAGAGTAAGGTCTCGCTCGGAGTTTAGAGTTGAATTTCTCGGACGAGAACATGAGTTGCCTTTAGACTAAAACTCACGTAAGGACCTAAATCCCTGAAAGCACAGACAATTTTGGGGTGCCCGATTTTGTTCTGGATTCCGCTTCATTTGGCGCCATAATTATAAGAAGGTCGGTTTCTCTGCGAAGAAAGTTTCATGCAAAAAAAACATAACCACTAAAATTTATCGGTTTCAGAAGGATTCAATTGTTGAACGCCAGTTGACTCAGAAAACTTACACATAAACCAGAGAGAAAGGTGGTTAAAATGCTTTGAGGAGTTTTTTACTAAAGCAGTATTGTGCGGAAGAAAACTTTTTTACGATTCTGATTCGAATTCTTGGATATTCTTAAATTTCTTATTGCATGAGCATCCTTCCAAACTGTTATAAAATCATTGTCAATAACAAAGATACAGGGTTTCATTTGTTCTGTAATCTTTTTATTTCTGCCAGTTTCCAGTTACATGGGCAAAGATGTAATACAATAGTTAAATTATATAGACAACAAAATCATACATTTATCAAAATTTTGTGAGGCAAATCGAGGCGCTAAAGCGCTAGAGGGTAGCGGAAATATACCCTTGACGATTTGAATTCTCTTGCAAATGATACCCAACTTTCTATGAGTAAGTATCTGAGTAGTGACGAAATAAATGTTATCAATTATTACTCTACAACCATTATACAGAATTGACGTTTTAGAGGGGTTCTTTGGAAGTTGCTGCAGGAGGAAGTTTGTCAGTCTTAACTGTGACAAAATCTATAGACAGACATGGTTCGTATCCAATTTTGGTGAAATAAGCGTTGAAAGTTTGAAAAGGTAAAAGGTTCATCAACGAGCTAGCTCAGAACTCTTCTTCGAAAGGTTTGGCAAGATTGACACAAATTTTCATAAGTTTCTTATATTGTAATTCTATGATTTTTCTTCTTATTTGGTTACTGTCTATCAGTCCCGTTTTTGTTCAGATCACATCGAAGGAGGAAGTCCAGTAAAACTAGCAAAGCACTTAGGCATAATATTTGGCACTTGGCATGAGTGTTCCGGCTTTGACAGCTATGACGCAAGAAATGCCAGGAAGTGTATGGAGGAATAATGTGGTCATCAAATACTATCCGTACGTTTACCTAATTTCGACGAAATATTAAAAAAAGCTGTATTTTATGGACAATGCGGATTGGTTTTTAAATTTGAATTTGAGTAAGGAATTCGCCACAAATCAGAAAATGTTCTCGTAAATAAATTTATGCAACCGAGGTTCAAGGGTCGTCTTGACGCAATGCGACGCTTTTGTCGCGAGAAATTCGGCGACAGCTGAAACAAAAGTATTTTCGATATTATGACTTGTATTCTGAACTGCTAGATTCTCAGAAGTCCAATAATGTGTTCAGTTTTTCCGGAAAACTAATCTAAAATAAGATATAACTTTTCGACGGTTTGGCGAGATAAATGTGTCGCGACGGAAAAATTTGTCGCAATTCGTTTTTTTCCCAAAAGTTGGGAGCGCAACTGTAGCTATGGTTGATTGAAAAATTCCTATTTTATTTACATTTTAGGATCCATCACCATTAGAAAAACCAACTTCCACTTGTTGTACTTTCACTTCTGCCGCAGTTCTTTCTAAAACTGCCCTGGTCATAGACGGGGCCATAAAAGTATGAAAGAAAGTACATAAATTATAGGAAGAACTATAGAGTCAATGACTTTTTGTTAACTAAGACTTACAGCGACGATGGTGTAAGATGGTGGAAGATACAGATGAACGTACGAGATAGTATTGACGTCATGTAAAGAGAGATGGGGGGGGGAGGGAGGGAGGTAACATAGAATGGAAAACATAGGAATGAAATAGAAGAGTTTTGCAGTGCACGCTGTTTGCTCGGAAATCCTCTTGCAAAAGGTTTTTGTGGGACAGCTTTGCTCGTTGGATATGTTGTATTTGGTGTATCTGCTTTTCAAAATCTTGTTAACATATTTATCTTGCAAGCGCGAAGTGTATTAAATTAATTTTGTCAAAATTTCACGGATATAACAATAATAGAGAAGGATTACAGAAAATTTTTACACATGAAAAGGAGTCAAGTGCTTTATGCGCGGAAGTTGTCTTAAAGATCTTGCAAGGAATTTACTTTGTATACTGTAGATTTGATAGTCAAATTTTGTATCTATAGAGTGCATTTACAGCTCGTCTTTAAACTTATTGTTGTTTTTAGAGCAACTGTAAACTGTGTGGAAAATCTAAGATTATATGACCATAAAAACACTTCTAAGAACTAAACGGGATTAGAAATAAAAGAGAAAGTTATTTAGTTCCACTTTATAGGCTGTTGACCGAAAAATTCTCTTGCAAAAGAAATCAACCGCGTGTACTATAGTTATGCTCGGCAAGTTAATGGTATATAGTGCCTTTGCAGACTTTATTCTTACATCTTGCAACAGAAAATGTAATAAAAAATCTAAACTAATACAGGAAAAATCTGCTAGGTGCAAATATGATATAAAAGGAGAAACTGAAAATTCTTTGTGAAGAGCCAAATTGTGAGAAATATTATGTTGTGGGTTTGCTCACCTAATTTCTTGTATATGGTATATGGTGCTTCTGCAAGTTTTCTTTGAACTTAGTCCCAAATCTTGTACGACAAATTGGGCCAGAAACTAGGATGATTCGGGAAATTGATGTGTAGAAAGTAAAAATTACTCATAAGCAAATTCTTTCACAAAAAGACGAATCATGAATTGCAGTAAAATGCACTGCATATAGTGCATTTTGCAACATTTTCCAAACTTAGTTTTCATATTTGCTATAAAACGCATCAAAAATATATAACAATATTTTGAAAAAAATCCTTAAAAATTCAGATGCAAGTAAAAAGAGCGAGGAATAAATTGTCAAAGAAATGTCAAAAAAATTCAAAAATTGCAACTCTAACTGTCAGAAATGACAAGAATTTGCCAGCTAAATTCCAGCTTCCCAAACTAGGCGATAATCAAGCTAGCCACGGGGCGAAACAATTGAAACATATCGTATAGAACAGGTTTTCTGCAGAAATGCGTAACGTCGACAGCACTTTAGGTGCGCCAACAATGCTGCGCAATCTACCAGTTCGCCCCAATAACGATACATACTGGTCATCACGCCCTTCCCCCCTCCCCTCCCCCTTCCTATTGCCTTCTCCTTCCTTAAAGACGGGAAAATTTGTGGGAAAGGAAATCAGCTGAGAATGATATAGTGAGACCGCATAGGAGTACATAACAAGCTAGCTAGGTGACAAGTGAGGGAAAAACGATCCCGCGGACTTGAAAAGGGACCTGTTTCTTCCCCCCCCCCCGTGCTTTCTTCGGCTACGAGTCAATTGACCTTGAGGCGTTGCGCAACCCTTCGCACACCTCAAAACTGCTTAAGAGAGGAAAACCGATAGAACTTGTTTGAAGAACTTGAGTTTTATGAGAGGTGAAAGCACGAGATACGAATTTTACTATCCTAACGGAAGCCAAAGCATCTCTCCCACCCCCTCCCCCCCCCCCCCTCCCCCCTTTACAGTTTTCCTGTGTGAAAACTGGAAATGCGACAAAAAGAGCGATTTATTCTAGATAAAATTTGATGAGAGCACAAGAACAAGAATTAGTGCGTTCGCGATGTTAAATTTATTATAAATCTTGGTTAAAGTGCATTGATCTCTCTAACCTTCTTAGTTAGATTGATAGCAGTAAAAGGTGGCTTGAAATGGTCATGTGCTTCATTTACGGGTCAAATTTCTGTCAGAAATTTATAATATATG